CTGCTGGTAGGAGAGACCTGACAACATTGTATCAAATAACCAGGTTACTATCTGTTGTGGAAGAGATCAACGCAGATGAAACCAATAAAAGATGATGAAGGAAAGCTGGTTACCAAAGATGAGAAACAAAGGAAACGATGGGCTGACCACTTCAAGAAGCTCTTGGACCGACCACCACCACCACCACCTGCACTTCGTCCAGAAATACCGCCCGCAGTCACAGAACTACAAGTGAACATAAATCCTCCAACAAAAGTGGAAGTCCTGAATGCCATAAAGCTACTGAAATGCAGGAAAGCAGGAGGACCAGATAGAATCATCCCAGAAGCACTGAGAACAGACGCAGAGACAACAGCGGACATGCCCACACTACACCACTGTTGCAGAAGGTGTGGAAGGAAGGGAAGGTACCTGTCGGTTGATTGGAAGAAGGGTTACTTTGTCAAACTTCCAAAGAAGGGAGACCCAAGTGTTTGCAAGGACTGGAGCGGAATCACGCTCCTGTCCGTGTCCACCCGAGGCAAGCAAAATATTAAGCCGCATCATCCTGGAGAGGCTAGAGGATGCACTGGATTCAAAACTACGACCATAACAGGCTGGCTGGATTCAGGAAGTACAAATCATGTGCGGACCAAATTGCAACGCTACGCTACGCATCATCATAGAACAGATAATAGAATGGCAGTCAACTCTCTACCTCAACTTCATCGACTTTGAGAAGGCCTTTGACAGCGTCGACCGAGAAGTAATTTGGAAACTGCTTCAACACTACGGAATACCATAAACCTTTATCAATCTCATTCAACAACCATATGAAGACGCCACATACCAGCCAAGTAATTCACAATGGGGAGCTCAGTAATGCTTTTGAAGTGAAGACAGGAGTGAAACAAGGCTGCCTACTATCACCCATGATATTCTTGATTGTGGTGGACTGGATTATGCAGCAAATGTGAGGAGCGAGAAGAGGGGGACACGCTGGACCGCGTGAAATAACCTAGAAGATCTGGATTTCGCCGATGACTTGTGTCTAGCGTCACACAAACTTAAAGATCTACAGGCGAAAACTAACAAGTCGACAGAAGAGGCGGGGCAGCGAAGACGGGACTTCAAGTGAATATAGAGAAGACAGAGGTGGTGATCATACCCAACCAACACCACCACCAACAACAACAAACTCCAATCACCATCAACGGGATAAATCTGATGGAAGTAGTCTCTTTCACCTACCTGCCTAGGCGGCATCGTTTCAACTGAAGGCGGCACGGACAGGGACGTCAAAGTCAGGATCGGAAAAGCAAGACCGTCCGGGGACATCACGCGCCAGGCCCTCGAGTGGAACCCAGATGGGAAGCGACGAGTTGGGCGCCCGAGGATGACATGGAGATCTTGTGAGGAAGAAATGAGAGCTTCTGGGCTGTCGTGGAGCCAGGTTCAAAAGATTGCAGAAAACAGATTAGAATGGAGACGTGCTACTGAAGACCTTTGTTCCACTAGGAACCCAGGGGAGAAAGAAATATTACATAGACATTATGTAAGATGTGAACGGACTGAAAGAGAGGGAAGTGATTTAAGAAGTCAAAGGCTAGAAGAGAAGATGCAGAGCTTTGGATTTCTGAGTCAGAAATAAAAAGTGAACATGTGCTTCTTTTTATAAATTGTTTCTTACTTATTAGGAAACTTTGAAGAAGAGATATGTCGATGATTGCGCTTCTATTGGAACTATGCCAGATAGTATATGCGAACCATTTTAGAAAGGACGCTAATCGAATGACCAATATCCTTAGATGCTTTTAGTTTTAACTTACTCGTGAGTTAAAATATTATTGATTTTCTCAACGCATCCACTCAAGTTAAACCAAGATTAAGATGGAGAACAATGACTAGTCAGTTCAAAGTGATCATGATTTATATAAGCACAGGGAGGGTGTAGATTCAGAACATGCATGGAAATAATGGGAAGTAACTGGGGGAAAATGTAGTGGAAGGAAAGTGAGACAGAAGGTAAATTTGCGTGATGAAAAAATGTTCATTAAATACATAAAGACAAGATGGGCCATCCATATCGCTGCAAAAGACTTGAAGTCGTAGAGCACATTTGAACCTCAGACGGATGATCTTAGTTGCATTTTATTTTCTGAGCTGGTTGGCTTAAGCGTGATTAAACCACCCAGGTCAGAGAACACAATACAATAAAGAGACTTGAAGTGATTTCAACGAAAGTCTTCAGTCCTTTCTTGTAAGGGAAACCTTAAGCACGATGGTGGAGTATAATTCAATATTAGATTGTTCAATTGATATAGCGCACAGTGACACAGCATAAATTGCCATCTGCATTACTAACGCCAGCCACGTCTAAAGCTTATATCGTTTGAATTGGTTATCATAGACTACACGGGTTGATTTCTAGATTGAACCACCATTAAGTCATTTCCTAACCATCTCGACTACCGTTGGTTAAGATGGTGAGACAAATCAGAGCAAACTCAGTTGGTGAATATATACAACTTCATCGACAGATATGTCTATTCTGTTCGACTGATTTGTCTAGAGACATTTGTGTAGGAAATTCAAATGAGAGATTTTTCATAACAGGAAAGAATAACAAATCCGAAAATGTAGAGGCATAGAATTCCTAACAATCAGTTTAAACAGATTTGCACAATCATACCTTAATGGTTAAAAGGAAGTATGTTATGCAGTAACATGCGTCCGAATAATGGCATAGAATACTGCAGATTATCACCACCAGTATTACTTTCAGTACCTCGACGATTGTTAGAAGTAAGAGTTACAACTTGTATAATTTGATGTAGTGTGCTATTTGCTACGTTTTCCTAGCCAAATGGTTTAATGATTAGCTGAAAACCTTCACCATGTAATAATCAGCAATACCAAACTTTTTTTGAACATTTAGGCAATAAACCGCTACGTTTACTACGGTTTCTGAGAACTCACTTCCTTTCTCAACCCCAGTAACTTAATATTTAAGTTCCGATAAATGATATTAGTAGATTCAAATATTATCGCCAATCCAGATAAAAAGTTCTCATTTCTGGTTACTTCTGTACTGAACTAAAGCGATGGATTTTTGAAGCTGCATCAATACTAAAAACATTAATTGCTAGAAACCAGCAGGCGAACTCAATATGTGTATTGTACGGAAACACTCAGTGTACAAAAATGCTGGTCTGGCCAAGTTAATATTTGGATTGAGAAACTCAATCACATTAACAGCATTTAAATGATGAACCGAAACACGACAGTCACCATGACGATGCTTTGGTGGTCTCAGAGCTTGAATATTGTGTCCTATGCGTCCAGTCACCAAGCCATGTTTCACCAAGTTTACAGATGTACTAAATAGTACCATAGTCATATGATGAGTACCAGCTGTAAAATAATCTTTTAGCAGTACCAACAGTGGTACTATTCATGCTTGATTCACACCTTCAAACGAATTAGGCTACATGAGGTAATTTTTCCCAAATTTTCACTAGCAGTTATGTGAAAAAGCAGTCGGGAACTGACCAATATGTACTACAATAAGAATCTTTGTGTCTGAATCAATTGTCTAGTTCTATTATGAAATCCCTTTTGGAAGTTTCAATAAGTAACACAATCTGCTCCATTTAACACTTGAAAGAAGTCAGTCAGTTCCGTTACAACTAGTTCATGAGGTCAATATGAAAACACTGATTCCATCGCAGATATACGAGGATTCTAAATTCAAGAATTCATGCCGACTGACTGCTAACAGAGTGTTGTATCAATTCAAACATGAATGATTCACTTCAATTAGAGTTCATAACTTGATAACTAACCAATCGGCTTTCAACACTGCAAAAAAACACTTATTCATGAAGAAAGAGCACTTGAAGTAGATTAATTGTGGACATATTCTTTCATTATTTTCTTGAGAGCAGACGGTTATTTTTAAAACAAAATACACACATGTATTACGAAAATGACAAGACTACCAATACTTGTTAGGAAGAGAAAGTAAATAACCAGTAAACATTCACAGATTCTCACAATACCCCAATCACATATATAAGCATTAACCAACCGAGAAAGCAATACTCAATTCCATGAATCTGAATAATTTATATGAATATCAGTTTGATGTATGCACTGGTGAGGAAGAAATAATAACGATAATAGTCGAAGAAGAGAAATGAGAAAAGGGATTGTAAACATTTATTCAACAGCTGTTGTTATTGTGAGAAGGACCAGGGATAAAGAATACTTTCTAGCTCTCTCTCACTTTCATGAAGACCAGATGATTAGATATGAGACAACAACAAAAATAATAGAAGAAGGAGACTACATAAAAGCAAATCAACTAAATATCAATTCTTTTTTGTTTGCCAATTCATGGAGAGTTGGAAACAGTTACTACAAGTAACTCTTAAATGAAGGTAAAAAAACTATCTATTTTCATAAAAAGTAGTACAACCGACTCACAAGAGTTAAAGAAAAGTGAGGAGGATAAAAGAAATACACTCTAATGATAACATAAGGATAGTCGGACTAATTTTTATATAGATATGTGTGCACTAAGGTAGAATATTACACACCAGTAAGTCTAACCGGATACTAAATATCTATGGAAGAAATAATATGCAAAAGAGGTCATGAAAATGTATATCTGTGGGATAAATCACATCTGATCTGTTAACAAATAAACATTTTTTATGGGGACAGATCACAATTTTAATGCAGTCACTATAGGTGAGTGAATATGCATATGCATATACACTTGTACTTACTGGTGTACACAGGTGTATTTATGGTCCACACAAAGAAAACAAAGTTATGATAAGATATCTATAAATACATCACAATTTCGTAAGTAGGACAGCATGCAAAAATATGTTTACAAAAAGTAAATAAGTAATGACCAGGGTAAAAACAATGAAGAAGAAAGGTTTACAAGCAAGGAAATACACATGCATACATACAAAATAAATACAGACGGAGACTGAACAAGTAAACAATCAACCTATTGGATAATCTTTTCCTGCTTTGTAATTGTCAGGTTGACGCACAGCTTGGTCCCGCTTATCAACATTGTCAAAATCATGATAGTATCTATTCCAAACAGTTGGAAATGAAGAATATTTACGATCAATGCAAACTGTTACCAATAGAAGTATACAAACAAGTGAACAAATCGCGTATTTCGGTACGAAGTTACGACTGCATTTTCGAAACAGGAGGAAATTACGATTACGAAGTACAAAACTGATTAATACACCGATTAGAATACCAATCAAGAGATCTATACTACTACTCCATAAATGATTAGCACTCATAGTTGTCTGACAGTTATCATTCACATTATAATTAAAGTCATTATTATTCGCATTCAGTTTGTCTCGTTGTATTCCAGTTTTAATATTTTTATGCTCATCCAATACAATTTCATTGATGTCCCATGATGATGGCAGAGTTTTACGACCTTCACAATATCCTGGACCCAAAAGAACACCGGCTGGTATACCTCGACTGATAAATAAGTAAACAGAAGGATAAGGATACAGAGAGTACTATAAATAACCTAGTCATTAATCTCACCAGTAGTAGATAAAGTATCACTTGATAAATTATGTTTTATACGAATAGTACATTTAAAGTTGAATAGAATTTCGAACTAATAGTCTATGGTCTTCAAACTGACTTCAAGTGCTACTAATAATCCATTTTATTCGCAGTAAATATCCAGAGTAATCCATTTTCAAAGTCTAGTAAGCAGTTGAAAATAAACACGTTTTTGAGTGAATTGTTAACATTCAGACGTGATGATAGACGTAAGTAGAAAATCTAGGTCGACACAGGATTACAAACAGCAGCTTCCAGATTACTATTTAGGAAACCTTTTGCCTAGTTAGAACTGCCAACAATGATTCGATTTTGTTCAAAGTATTTACTGATTCATGGATGTTAGATATTCGGATCGAATATCATATATTTTGTTTGTACTACAGACCCCAGCCAGAAAACTTACATTTAGCTATGCAGTTAAAAATTGAGTCGATTGGTCCTATATACAATAACAGGAAGTAGTCCATCACTTAGGTCCTTTCAGCATAACACTTCGCCTCAAAATCCAGAAACAGTTCACCTACCGTATAGAGAACCAACTGGTATAGAATAATTTATGCTTCAACTATGATGTCATTTTACTAGCACACTATTCTGTAATATATCAACATAAAATAAATACTTCCAAGAGGTATCCTCTTGATGCAAAGCTGTCATTATACTATGAGGAAATAAGTGAACTAATAAGATAAAAAATGGAAATCCTTCAGTTATAAATTCTGATAACTCAAATCTTTTCACCTATTCACTTCAAGATTGGATCAGAAAAAACAGTGAAACCACAGAAGTTATTATGTATTTATTGAACCAACAAGGTGAATAGTTCGTATTCTTCTTAATGGTGGAACGATAGTCTCCTGAGGTGTATTCACTTGACCTTAGTGCTTCAAGTTGTATGCATCTGTACAAATATAGTAGCTAACTCTCAGATTATTGGTACAACATTACCAAAAATGTTGCGAAAACATTGTACTCGAAATCTCTATGCTCATTATAAGTCTCAATAAATGAGAACTATTGTTAGCTATTGCAAACACTTTATAGAATTCGATTAGAATTAGGTAAACTGCGAAGAATACAAATGTTTGAAAATCAACTTCAAAATCACCATTCATGTGCAATGGAACTAGTAACTTAACACCAAACAAAGTCTAGTTGAAAGTGAAGAAAGACAAATCAACTGGTTCTATTTATGATCTTGCATGGTCACAATGAAGCTTTATTTGTGAGTTACTGCCTTGATGCAAATAATCGTCAACCAAAGTTTTTTGAAAAGACTCAAGGATTTAGTGGTTATGATATTCGATATGATATCAGAATATGGTGGTTCCAAATGTTATATATAGTACCACTTAAAAGTAGGTTACAATGGCACAAAACCACTGAGTCTAAACATTTACATCCATCCATTTTATGTTATGTTTATTTATTTGTCAATCAGCAATTTCTCACGGATCCGTCTAATTCCCCCACGTACGTTTCCACAGTATGAAAAATCCATCTCCTAGAATGTGACAATTTGATTCGATACTTTGCTGAGCCAAAATCAAACAAAATATCAGTCAGTTAATTTGTGACAGTGCGAGTTTTTAAGATAAATACTACACACCTTGTAGGATTCAAAAACACGAGCCTTGCATTTGAAAAATTGATTGAGAAAAGATTATCCACGGAAGAGATTTTTATCATAACAACAGTCGGTGTACCAACTGAACTTCAACAGGTATCTTTGCTCTATTTTCAACAAACAACTAAAACGTACATGAGATACTAAATATTCTACAACTTTCTGAAGACTTTTTCAGAAGATAACCTGCACGCACGTTGAAAGCGTAGTCGTCTAAATAGTTGTGTACTACACTATACAAGGTAGTACTTTAAGTAAACTAGTTATTCTATTACTAAAGAAGGGCTGAAATTATTGGCGCTTATGCAATAATTATTATAACCTGTATTAGGCTTTATATTCATCTTGGCGATCGACAGCGGAATCTATGACACGTGTCCTGTCCTATTTGGGACTCGTCAGCTGGATGTACCTGGACCCCAGTGAGCGGTGTTGTTCCCACTGAGACTCGACCCTAGTACGCATCGCTCATAACACAAGCGTTTTATTCACTAGGCCACTGGAGCACGACAGACGCCTCTTGTGTAACGGATATCAGTTGTTGTTTGTTGATGCTTGTAATTTCTCGTTGCTATACAGGGTCAAATTGTTCGACATCAGTAGGCTTATGTTGAATGAGACTTATATCTTTTGTCTTTCTCATAATCAAACGGTAATAATACTAAAACATCTGAAAAATAATGAAGTTGCAAACAGTGAAATTGTATCTTACTTGATTAGGCGACATCTCTGTTCTTCAATACGTGGACCAGCATAAACCAAGTCGATTGTATTTCTAGAACTCCAGAGACGCTCTGCAATAGCACTTGTTGCTGGCCTATAAATAAGAGATAGAAGAAAAAACAACGTTAGTATAATTGTCATTAGAAAGTGGAGTTTTCAATGTTGGTAAAATGAATGAAAAATAGGTAGAAGCATACACACTTATTCAAAGATTACCTTACTCCATGAACTCAAGTTATGCCATCACAAAATCAAGGTTGAAAGAATTTGGACCATCATAAACAACAATAAAATTGTAGCTTAATAACTTTAACTTTGAATGACTACTTCTACTAAATCAAGATTATTAATACAGGGATATTAGCTATGACTTTTTGGTTATTCAGTAACGATTGTTGATAATATTTTTTAACTCTTTGCATATGCTAGAAAATGTTTACAGGGTCTGACTGCAAATTTACTTTGAAGGGTAAAAGTCATGTTCCTGCTCTGAATTTCCTTGAATCATCTACATTCCAAGCTTTTGAAAGCATCGAAACAAACTGTACTGTGAATTTAAAAACTTTATGACCATAACACATATATGTATATCATTTGGATACTAAAATCATTGCTCATTGGCAAGATTACAAGTGTATACTTTCATATTTCAATGGGACTACATTTGAAGTTTCCGTACAGTAGGACTGTTAGTTGCTTTAACGTATGAAATCTAGAAATAGACGATTTGCGAATACGGTACCATTTTAATGTCATGTTCATCGACAAAACTTCGTCCATTTAATAAGAGTACCTCTTTTTCATCATTGAAAGCCGTATTGCAAATCCTTAAGCCAGCACAAGGTGGTTGAGAGGTGAAAGTAAATCTACAATGACCTAATGTTTAAAGCGACATTTAGTCACAATACACTATAAGTCAATAAAAAGTTGTAACTTGTATGGACGAAAGAATTTTGAGATTTTGCAAAACAGTACACGCAACATTGTCAAATACTTTTATACCTGGAGATTGGGACGAAATATCTTCTTACCTAGGTTTGATGATTCCAGGTCCTCTCTGCTACTTTTATCGATCCTGGATACCCACCAAACATAATTGTAATTAAAGATTGTGGGAATATCTCTGTTGAGATATAAGTAACGGATGTTGTTAAAAGCGTACTGATTCGATTTTAACTGGTAATAAACTTAAATATCTTTAAGGCTCGGATCCTCAAAACGGGTAAAACGGTGAATGACAAAAAGTTGATTAAAAAATACTGATCTATCTATATATCTTTACAGGTAACCTTAATTTTAATTGTGGTTGCTCGAATATCAAATACCTCAATAAGACCTACCCTTCCACGGTGTGGGCAGCTGGGAAGTTTCAACCACCCTAATAACTCTGTCAGCTCTCAAGTTCCCCCAGATTACTATCCCCCTTCCTCATCCTCCACGTCTCCCAGTTAACAATCCTACATCATCCTCAATTTCTTCTAGCTCTGCAGCTTTACGCAACGATTTGAGTCCTTGATCTCCTTGAACCACGTTCCAAATTACACATTGGAAACTTCAATGTCCTTAACCTCCATCACCTTGGCCAACAAGCTTCAATGCCCAAAACTCTGGCAACTCGTAACATGGATGTGTGGTGTGTTTGTAAGACACAAATACAGGACCCAAATGCAGTAATTCACCCCTCTAGATCAATATGATGAATTCACAAAGTTAAACCTACGAGTTTCTGGAGATTCGATGGCCAGCTCTTGTACTCTTAAAAAGTAGGGATGGCATTAAGCACTAGGGCAGAAAACTCACTACTGGAATGGATCCCAGCTGACAGACGCCTATACAATGTTTGGTCGGATGGTTCAGTGAGAATTAAAAGGAATAGTGAAACTCTCTGTAGTCTTCTAGTAATCTCTGCTTATGAAACCACTGACAGATGAAGTGAAGGATGAGCTCTACCGAAAACTGTCTAGCCTCTTTCTGTAAGCCAAATGTTCAGACGTGGTTGTTATTGCAGCTGATATCAACGCGTAAGTAGATAGGCTGAGCACGACAGAAATTCACTTACGTGGAACTTTCGGAATCCCAGCTGAACAAACAGATAATGGTGATCCCCTACTACAACTATGCTCAGATGACCGCTTACTTCTAGCTAGCAAAAACGTCAGGCATAAAAAAAGACATTGTCTGACGTGGCGTCTACCGAGTTTAACTCAGTGGTGGATACGCATAGACAACATTGCAACCAGCAAACGCTGGAGAGGGTGAGCGGAAGACTGCCGCTCCTTCTGGAGCACGTGTTCCGCCAGTGATAAAGCGTTGGTTCCAGCACGTATATGTATGCATCTCAATGAACGTAGAAAAACTATAGCAACGATACCATTACGAGTGCAGCTCAACAACGAGGGCGCTAAGGGAAACTAGCTAGACAGTTATCGGAAGAGAACACTATCACTCTTCCAGAAGAAGTTTGGTGCCATCTCCAAACTGCTGTGAAAACAGCATTGAAGACGAAAGTCAACTCTCAAACAGTGATTAAAAAGAGCCAGGGGATATCAGAAGCTTCTTATGAATTAATGGATGCACGCGAATGCATTCATGCAGGCTTTGAGTACGATGAGGAGCGAATGTAACTCAAATGTAGACTGACAAAAGTCTACACAATGACCGCAAGCAGTGGTGGGTAACGAGGGCTAAAGAGGTGGAAAAGGCAGTAGCGATCGGTAACAGGAGACAATTATTTTCATCAAAACCCAATAATCGCCTCATATCCTCTACTTTTAATAGTCACGTCTCATAGTCGTATAACAGGACAGAACGGTCTGCAGCGTTAGTTAGTCGGATATCTCACCAGTCGGCGCCATCGATGGCGCAAGTTGGTTTATACCAAACGGGCATCCTGTATCTGAGCTGAGATTTCATCAGCAGCCAACCGCTTCTGGCTGATGCAACTGCACTACTTCACTCCCTATCATAGAGTATGGAGTCGTTGCACACCAGTCCTGGAATATCACCTTACATATAATAGGTGCCAACGAGACGCATACCAGACATACTTAGATTTCTGCTCAACGCGTTTAGGAGACTGTATTGTGTCAGCGTCTTCATCCAGCATGACAATATCGTCTGAGTCATGTTAGGAGATGTAGGTTCTCAGGAAGAGGTCCCCAAGACGATAACAGTCAGTGGTTGAAAACTGTTGGTGACAAGGCTGAAAACCGGTTACAATGGGGCAGGTGTATTCACTCTTTGACGTCTTCTAAGGCTTCAATATTTGCACTAGACGCTATCTTCATATTGTTTATTCTCTCACACCACTTTGTCTATTATGATATCACTCTTTTTCTATACACCTGTTCTTTGTGTGCTACTTTGAAGTGTGGAACTTGAAACGCATGAACTTGTGTGAGAGATTCTACGTTGTCTTTGTCTACCAATCTGTTTGACTGACACATTGTTGGTTCGACTACTGCAACGACTTATATTTTAGTTTCACCTCCAGTCATCACACAGTTTCGAATATTGGATAGTTGACATGGTAGGACTAAAAGCACTGTTTTTAATGTTGCAATTAAACAACTGATCGAAAGACAATTCCAGTTTACCGAATTAAAACAATAAGGAATGAAATTAGGCATGATTAATCGCAAAAAAAATATATTCTATGAGAGTTCAATTACCAGATTCTCATGAGAACTGTATAGTCCGATTGGTATTCACTCCACATGCAGGCTTCACCACCAATAATCTGTTGTTCAGTATTCATTGGTGCATCTTTCAAATAAAAGAACAGAAAACACAAATAGAAATCAACAATTAGAAAGACAGTAACAACTAGATGGTGCGCAGTATTTTATTTTCGAATATGCTTCAGTTGAACTCCAAGAATAACACACACAAGTAACCTGATGAAAGAAAACAGATAAAGGTTGTATAACAAAGTGCTTTATTCCCAAATACCATGACCGTGAACGGTGGGCCCAACCAGATCGGAGGTTAGGATAGTTACACAAAGACGCCATTGGATGGAGGTTGTATTGTATCGTAAACTGATAGAAGTAAGAAATGTGTACTACTGGGTGCCAACTCAGCAGCCTAATGGTAACGTGCTGGTTACAGAATCTGAAAGTCCTGGTTTTCATCCTTGGTGGGGTCATGGATATGAACTGCTGAGGAGTCCCATACTAGGACGAAGCAGCTGTCCAGTGCTTCCATATTTTCTATAGTTCTCCAACCAATATTAGTCCATGATGAATATCAACCCAAAAAAATAGTTAAAGGGTTGAGTAGAGTAACTTTTGTTTAGAAAACAAGTTGCTGAAATATGCAACCATTCTTTAAGAAATTTGTTTCCATTTTATAATGAGTGATTATGTATTTATTCTAATAGATCATACGTCATAAGCTCAGATTCAATTTTTTACTGAGAACGAGAGTTTATTCGACAACTCTAAAAATGCTATCAGTCAACGTTGAAATAATGCGCAGTTAACATCGAGAAACTGACATCTGCTAGATATCAATATGATGAAATTGAACCTTTACTGCTAATGATTTTAAATTACTTCATTAAAAGATACGCGAGCCCGGAAGTAAAGTTTTGCGCCACTAGGGTAAACCTAATGACTCACGGTTACAGATAAGTTGGTTAATGTGGTTAGAAAAAGTCTTGCCCATGTTGAATATCCACTCACCTCCATATAACATATTGGTTACATTAGTGTAGAAAACGACAAGATGGAGACGAAGGAACGAATGTTTCTTATTGACATCTTGTGCTGTAGTCATCAAATATTGTACACCTTTCACTAAGACAATCATTTGCATAATGTGTTTCATTTCCCCTTCTGCTTCCATTTCGATTTGCTCTTAATACTCCCATATTATCTCTTGCGTTTGTCTCGGCAGAATCCTTACCTATTGCTGTTAATTGCCTATGATTTCTGACGCCCTCTCAACATATACTACTTATATCTGTTCTGATCAGCAGCGCCTACTACAGCAGAAGTAATACAGAGAACCATACAATGGTGAACGTGGTGCTTAGATTCTGAGATATGAGTACATGTAGATGTCTGATGATAAATATTTTCACGAGTAGCTCAAAGATAATTTTGTGAAAAGACCATCAATGTTTGAAGGTGGAAATTAGTAGTTATAACCAACTGATGTGAACGATAACTAATCTGAGTGGACAGATAGACTTTAACTATTTCGATCACAATAATCTGTCACACAAATTCTATATTTCCCGATTAATTTTTATTCCTTTCGCTGACTTCCTTTTTGTGTCATGTTTAAAAGTACAGACGGCTGAAACAATAAATTTCGTACCAGCATCTACATCGACCGACTAGTCAACTTCGTTCATATGATATAACACAACTTAAAGAAATACATTAAGATCATCTTGAACCTGAGAATAGGTGAACTGACTAACTTCATAACCGTTTGCAAGACAATTCATAGTCTTGATAACATTTAGTAATTTCCTGAATCGTAATGCTAGAAGTGGGTTTCAATCCTATCTAAAACTTGTTAGTTGGATGAGCATTCATCTTTATGAATCACACGATTCCTACAAAAACTAGATGCAATCACCTGTTATTTCAGACATATGAATGTTATCCCCATCACGTTACTCCGTTATAATGCTGACCTTCTATTCAATATGCATCAGTTGTTACTGGAGTTTCTGGACCCAGTCATTACCGATTTACAATACTGAAGTGAGTAGTATTCATACAAGAAGCACATATTTCTTACATTAGTTGATCAGTCCACCTCTGCTGCGAAAGATAAGGAAATGCAGTTAAGTTTTTCAGTTTTTGAAAAAATATGAGACATATTTTTGGTGACCATCAACAACTTTAGATACCAATACTGTGGAAACTTTTAAAGCAAAGAGTAACTATATACAGTTAAAAGCATATGACAAGAAATTCTAACTACTTGGTATGTGTCAAAACTTACAGATACAGTGCATGAATTTTCTTATCCTTAATAGATTCGTAGTAACCTCATACAACACGGTTCAACACATATACCCTCAAAAGCAGCCTGTGTAGAGGCGTTCTTGATAAATGGAGCAACTGAACACTATTTCTTCACGACTACTTCAATGCAGAGCAAGAGGTTTTCTCAACATAGTAACGAACAACCAACATTATAAAAAGAGGAAAAAACAACAATTGGTGCACTTACCATTAGCAGGATCACATAGATAAAAATCTGTCCAACGTTTCATATCGTTAAGCGAGTCTAAATACCAACAGGTTGAATAAATAATATTATGTCCTTGAGATAAAAACGAAGTCGGTGAAGTACTCCAGACTTGTATCAATAGTGTTTTTTTAACCTGTAAAATAAGCAGTTATCTATAATCCTCTTATGTCGACTTTTAAGGGAATACTATCATTACAAAAAGGCGAACATAATAACAAGCAAAGAAAATCAAACAGCAACAGAGTGCTGAAACTTGATGGAAAATAGAAAAGCATCAGGAGATTAGGGACAATCAGGTAAACATAGTTCCCTAAAAACTTGAAGACATACCTAACGGATGATTATCAACAAGCAAGTCCACGGAACTCTACTGACTGCATCCAAACACCCAACGTGAAACAAATGCGTGGAAGTGATGAGTCATCTAGCTAAGTAACCATACTACGAATTTGATTGATAAGATTAGATCAACACTTAGGATTAGCCATGACACTGATTACCCTCTAGTGACAAATCAAAGAACGACAAAAATTGAGTACATCTGTATTACTGTCACCTTACACAATAAGAAGATCTCAGTCAAGAAGCCTGAATGGCTGAGATCAACAACCAGGTACTTCACGAAACACTTTCGTATTCTTTAGGATTCTTCGATTGACGTTTATTCACGATGAAAAGTTCGTCTTTACGAGTTGTCGCTTGACTGTACTTAAAAAGAAAGTCATTTGATTAGATACTCTATTTTTTAGAGGAAATAACTTTATTAACAAGGTATTTAAAATTTATATGCCAAGTGATAAAAAAACTTTTTCTTTACTTGGAGGACAAGTTCCCCGGAATGTTATGATGTTCGATGCAGAAAACAAGATGGAAAATGCAAAAATTCATGTATATGCTAGGTTAGACTACAAACTATTCAACTTATGAGAATATATCTTCGATACTGATTTTTGTGACCACAGTATGAGAGCAGACTCGTACGGGTTAAATGATTGCACAATGTTACCTCGGCGATGAAGTACAATAATCTTTATTTCTGGTAAGTGGTTCTTTTCGAAAAGCTTGTTTTTTTGAAGTGATTAGGCGAACTGATGCATAAATTAAACAGATGAATGTCACAGTGGATAAAACCTGAGTCTTAAATCCACTGATGACAAAGTACTGACAGTCAACTAAACTTCGTATTATCTTTAATTGACTACTTTGTATCTAAAACTTCGTTTGGCAAATATTTGTCAATTACAAGCTAATGGATCCTTAAATCAAGTTTAACATTTATCCAATAACGATTTACGATGGAACTATGGCTCGTTGGTTAAGATAGTTGACTGTCACCGGTTTGAACCCCACTCAGCCTACAAGGGCTTGGACAGCCAGGTAGTGGCATCAGCCCTCACAAGTTACATGTGGTTCATTGCTTACTGCAAAAATGTGCACAGGGTTGTTGACACCATATCGACCATGTATCAGAATACCAAAGTTGTCGTATTTGATGAAAGGATTGAGAAAGAGTGTAGAACATAACACAGTACAAGTAGATAAGAATCATACAGTCGAAAGTAAGAAATCAGTCAGTAGGTTCCTAGATGAGATTATGCACAACTTTCTTTTTCGAAGTATCTTAATCTAAATTAATCATTAGGGTTTAATGTATCAAGAAATAATGTATTTCATTTGTGTTTCTTCTCATGTACATTAAAGAAGTGGCAAGAAAAGCAAGAACATATGGTGAGATTACTTGAAAGGATCCCAAATATTCTTCAGTCAGTAGTAAAAATAATGAAAAATACTAACCCGTGAATTTTATTTATCATTGTAATAATGTGAATACAAACGTAGTATGGACGAAGAAGTGTTATTCAAACTGCATATTAGGCGTTTTCTATGGTTTTTAAATTATTACTAAACCATGAACAAAATAACATTCATTGGAAACTCAACGTTATGTTATCAATTGTGGGTACCATCAGTCTGTCAGATTTTGATAGATACTTGGAAAAACTTGCTTCTCAGGAAGCTCTAAGTTGGAACGCAAAATCGATGCAAATCACGTATATTTGACGTGTGCTTTGAATGACCCTTTACCAACAGCCTGCAGCTAAATATTGATCCGCATATATGCGATTCCACAAAATGTTAGTTATCCTATATGAAACTCAGCTGTGAGTATTTATATTATTCAACAAGTATTCAGTATAACTTCTTCCTCGTGGTCAACAATACTATCGTCTTGTGTATTTCATTTTATTCCACTAGCATTCATTAATGATAGACCAACTAAAACACTGCTCTTCATTAGCGTCTTTTCAGAAACTGACTGTTACCAATTTAAGTTGTTCTGCGCTTATCTGGATATTTGAGATCAACTTGCACTAGGAAATGTGGTAACTCAGCTCACTGCTATGCAAAATTGTCGACTGGGCCTTCTAATTACACCAGTGCAAGATATCAAGCATGCGAAATTTGACACAAACAATAGGTCTATTAATCTTATGGAACCTTAATGACTTTAGCAATAATAAGTTCGAATTCACTTCAATCACATAGACAGATTAAACTAAGCATAATATATTCAATTTGGTTTTTTTTTCAAGTGAAACGAAACGAAGTTGAGTATGAAGAAATGGAAGTAATATATACTTATTTAATTTACCCACATCTGCATGGTAAAAACACTTAACAAAAACAACTGATAGTGCAAGGTTGTCAAATTCATTGCATGTCTATGATGACACAGGGTTAATTAAAAATTTCAATACTACGTTATTTGCTACAGCTATTACGTGACAAGTAGCGGTGCTACCCAATTATCTAAACCCCTAAAGACGGAGTAAAGTTCAAACCTATGATGAACTAATCATTCAAATCCGAGCGAGTATGCCATGTACCATAGATCTACGTAAACAGTAAGAATTCTTTAAGCGGGTCCATATGAAAGACACTCTCTGCAACCAATATGAACTTTATTGAATCAAATATTATCCATGCATTTATACCAGTTGGTATCATCAAAAACTGATCAAAAGTGATTTTCTCGACAAAAGTCTAGATAATCTAATCATTACTGTGCCATTTGCATTGGGCACTGTCGACTTTAAAGGTTATATACGTGAAAAAACCAGACTCAAATAAACCTTCTTAACTAAATCAGAATCGGCTATTCAACTATTAGTGTTGTATACAACTGTACTTATATACCATCCGTGACTAGAAAGTTTTCGAACGAAAAACCTGCTGGCATCAACGCAGTTCAGTTATTAATTCAGAACAATCTGAACGAAGAATATTCTCAACACGTTCTACAGCCATAAAATGAAACTGAAGAACCTAATCAGAATTTACTGGAAGGAATATTTTTTTGTTTCTAACTAATGTTATGGGAATCTTCAACTGCTGAAAATCCTACAGTTCAGTTATTTCATATCATTCTTCCCTTTCATGCATTTGAATAAGTATGCAGGTATTCCCTGCATTCTCCTCAGCTACTTTACAAACTATAGAACATAATGTTTATTATAAAAGAAGGTCTATAACGTACTTCCATAAATCGACAAGAATGTTGTGATGAAGATCGAAAATAACGAAGATGTAGCCCAATCGAAAGGGATGACATTTGATCAAGCTATGGATATTACTTAGAGGTTAACACTGTTTATACAGAGCTAAAATGAACATTCTGGAGAAGATAGCGAAAATTGGGAAAGATTTGTACAGTTTCATTCAAGGATTGGTAGAAATTGCCATCAGGATTAAGTAAGCATCATAGAAGGTTAACAGATTTTTGTTATATTGAGGGATAAGACGAACACAACTCAGAGAGAAAATGTAAAACAAAAGGTCATGAAATTATGGAACTTTGTAGCTACAATTTTAGGATATTAGAATTATCAAGGTATAAAAAAATTCATAACAGTATCTTTCTGAATATATAGATCAGGCTTGAGTCTTTAAATTATAATTGCTGCGATCATTGTATGAATAGTTAACCTCTGAGTAGTTTTAACAGCTTCATTAAATTTCATCCACTTTAACCGAGCTACATCTTTAGCATTTTCGACCTAAATCACAACATTGTTGTCGACTTATGGGAGTACGTTGAATGTCTTGTTTTTCTGATCATAAGCATTATATTATATAGTTTGTAAAGCAGCTGAGGAGAATCCATAAAACACATAGATACTAATTCTGCTAATATTGTTTTTCTTGCTGTATTCAATTTCAGTGATTGAAACGCTATTGGGTTGTGAGGATCTCTGGTAGAGACCTTTAATTTATCGATAAATTGGGAATAAAATGCATAAATTAGTTATTATTTTTTTTTTTACCTCGGTAACATGATTCAGAACATCTTGCCATACAATTAAATTCCGCCTTAAATCAGGACTGCTGTTACCTATTCTGGTGACCAAATTCTGGACACTACAAAATAAGTGAGAAAAACTGGTATCAAAATCGAAAGATCATGGAACACAAATATATGCACAAATGAATGAGAATATATATTGGTGAATGTAGACTTGTTTCAGTCATCTAAGTCCATGAATAAATACGTTAAACTCAGTGACTAATTACCTAAACGTTCGTTTCACGTTATAAAAGTGGAAAAGGATTCCAACATGGTATCAATAAGTCGAAAACTAAAAGGAAAGTACTACTACGCATTTTCAAATATACACTCAGCGATCTGGAACTTCATAATCTAAATGTGTCGAACAGTGTAATCGCACAGTACTTGCTCAATACTCGATATAAAGTGGATATATTAAAATCATTTAAAGTTAAAAACAATCTATTAAACTTCAGCTTTTAGCTTTCTGTTGAGGCTACTGCAATCAAAAAACGAATTGGAAAGTATCGGGTGGTCAATCTCTTATTTTCACGGTACTTCCCATTTTTTGAATCAATCTGGACGTTCAATTATCTGATTATTTCTTTTTCTTATTCCGTTTATTTCAAAATCTACCTTCATTTTTTTTAGTTTTATTCACCTTTGTTTGTCTGTCTAGCTAAGGATAACGCTTTATATGGATTACCTACGGAGCTATTTATGCTACTGTTAGAAGTTTATCGTTCCCATTTTATCTTTTTTTATCTACGGTTTAGGATTATTTATTTAATCATTCTATAAATAGCTTCCTAACAAAATATTCTTGAAAATTTATATTTCCACTAATTCATAATTTACTTTAATGGTACCTTGTGAACTTGACTAGTGCATGTGTAGATTCTTTCATCCACAATCCACGCGTTGGTCTTAGTTTCATCATAATCATCTTCTATCATACACCTTTTTATTTGTTTGACCATTAGGAACTGTAGCTAGATAGTAGATAGGCACGTATCGAACACGTACTAACCATTTCAACCGATAAAGATTTGCAACCTAGCTGACTGATTCATAACTGTTAATGGTAGATTACTTTAATTTTATGCAGCTGTTTATAAGGTTGATTAAAGACTATTCAAAATTTCATTCCTCCCTTAGTAAGCTAATGGATACTGTCAGTCTAGTACGTATCCTACGTTTATTAGAGGACACATAGATGCTTGAAGTGAGGCTTGATTAGAATACCAATTCACACCGCAGATAGTATCCACGTTACTGCAGATGTATAAAACTAGTTATGGCTATTTGTAAAAATGCCAATCAAACTGCAGGTGAGTTGGAATTATAGGGATAGCATTTTGCAGGAACCTTTTGAGTTTATGCTGTATCATCTAGTTGAGGAGTGAAAGGACAACTGAGATTCAACTGAAACCCACACTTTTTCCAGCATATTTTTTTATTTTATATGAATTTGTGAGATGATAACAACTAATTGTCAAATTGTTAGATAACTGTAAGGTGTGCTATATGAAATCTTCACATGGATCAGATGAAGTTAAAAAGCGTGAATGCACCTACACCTGGGTCACAAAAAACATAAAATGCATTATTCATTACCTGAGATATTGGTTTGTTTGCTCAGGATTTTCATCGGACTCGGCATGGAATAGAAGTACTAGATCCTAAACAAGTAGTTTCAGGACGCCCGAGATGCTATTTCATAAGCTCAACTAGTAAACTCAGGTTACAGAAGTGGGAGCAAAAGAATATAGAAATATATTAGTAGCGATGTTAGTAGCCAGTGAACCTGATCAACTGGCATTGTCTCAAACATTCACCATCCGAATGCTTAACACTGGGTTGATTGCTTTAGACAGACCACGCATTAATGACTTGAAAAATTATCCAAAACAAATACATATAAAATACATTTAGCGATACTTCAATAAGAAGATAGCTTCATAACGCAATGTATGTTCTTGTATTACCTTATGAATTGTTTATTACGTAAGAAATAAGTAGAAATTAGTAGAAATAAGAAACTCGTTAACCTATGAACAAACGACCATCCTAATAGATAAAATTTATTGGTTCTTTTCAAGTATTTCACCAATAACATGAATAAGTAGAAAATTACAATGGTATCTTACCGTCTCCAAAAGTAGTTATTCCAAAAATTTGGATTGAAATGAGCAGAATACCGTTCCGTTTGAGTGATTTGAGGATCCCGTTCCCTTCATCATAAAATATATCAAGTGGAAAGAATTCATAATGCAAAAGATAAGAAAAATAATAAGTGACCGAGTTATTCACATTAAAATAAATTCTTCGAGCAGGATGATATACCATTGAAGCTGTAAGCCTTGTGATAGCCAACAAGTAATTGTACTGGCGAGTGGTATAACTTTATTTACACCCTAATCGTAAATATTTTCTGCACTCGGCTGAATTTACACATCGACTACTATGGTTGTCACAAACTTCATTCAGAGAGCCCGGAGACATCACATGCACACTCCATATATAGGAGGAAACGTTTAGAAGCCTGGTATTCAAACAAAACAGTAATCAGTTAACACGCAGACGTAAATCCAGTGCATAATAAGAAAGGAGCAAACCATCAACCAATTGAAAATTGACCAATTACAACAATATATCAGGCTTAATGACAGAAACAAAGAAGCACAACTGCAACATAATAAGTATTTTTTTCCAATCTGATACAACTAAATTGAAAGTCAAAGAAGTCAATATATTGCAAAACCTTCATCTTCAACTTGCAATCATAGAAAATCAAAGTTTAAGGAATCTGTTGTCTGAACATTCATGTTACTTGTGAACATCTATCACTTCTCGCTGAATTTTGAGTTGATGTCATCGAACCTGGTGATGAAATATTACTGCTCAGGGAAGAGCCAATAATTTCCAATATTCAGTTTTTAACAGTTCCATAGAATGGTTGCAGGAGAATTAGGAGAATATAAATATTTCCACTAAACTATCTAACTCAAGGAGTATACAAGCAACAACACCGTCTTCTCAATTAGTAAATCACTATAATAGTTTCAGTAATTTCAAAGGTACTTACGCTAAATAAACTCTAATTCTTATGATTATATGACTAATGGAATAACAAATGATGTCATAGTACTTCACACGTTACAGTTCTGTTTTAGACTCAATAAACCTAGAAATAATACCACACAAAGTAGTTCATCATTTAGAATTCGTTTAAAAAAACATATACAGGTGAGCAGCATCGCCTAATTAACACGTACACTAGTTACTAGCCGAACCTAAGCACGCATAAAAAAGGGAATGTTGGGCATAGGGCTAGCAGCCCTACCCCACAAAACCAATCCAATCTCTAAAGAAACTTCAATGCACAGAAAAATCTACAAAAAATAAAGATAAGCTTATTCCTCGCTAGAATCATGGAGATGAAATGACACCAGTTGGTGAAAGCCTTCGTGAAGTCAATTGACCGATGTGCCTTCTCTCTATGAAAGAAAAAGTGAACATGGGGACATGGAATGTCCAAACAATGTTTGAAGCTGGCTGACAATGTTGCCCAGATCGTGAAAGAGATGAGAAGGTATGGTATAGAAGTGCTAGGAATCTAGGAAAGCAGATGGGATGGATGTGGACTCTCCAAACTCTTAACTGGAGAGTCGATAACCTACTCCGATATTATCATCCAAACGACAACCACGAGCACACTGAGTTTTCGAATGGCTGTCATGATATCCCCAAGAGCATCAAAGGCTCTCAGGAAATGGGAACCAATTTCCTCAAGCAGGATCAGGATCATCACAGCAAGATTCAACTCAAAAGGAAGGAAAGTTACAATCATACAATGCTACGCTACGATGTGCACCTACAAATAATGCAGATCAACAGAAGAAGGAGGAATTCTACAGACAACTACAATCATCACTGGACAAGACTCCGTCCCAATTGATGACATAAAAATTCTAATGGGTGACATGAATGCCAAACTGGGAACAGACAACACAGGAAGAGAATCAATCATGGGTCGAGAGGCACTTGGTGAAATGAAGAATGAGAATGGAGAACTCTCTGCAGACTTCCATGCATTTATTGATTACGTGATTGGAGGCGAGGCAGCGTGTAAAAACACAAGGATATCCATAAAGCGACATGGATTTCACCAGACACCAGGACACACTAAAAATCAGATCGACTTCATCTGAATGGGAAGAAAGTGGAGACGCAGCCTACTGGACATAAGATCAAGAAGGTGGGCAAATGTAGGTTCACATCACTCACTGTCTAGTGGAGGGAGCCCACCGTCAAAATCAAGTTGAAAGCCAAAATCAAAGAAGCCGGTGATGGGCCACAGTTCAAGTTCAACACCCAGAACAGAAACTGAAGGACGAAACCACAAAGCACATCTCTTCACGTCAGCCATTTGGAAAAAAATTTGAGACATTAGACAGCATCCTGGAGAAAACCTGTGTGGAAGAGCAATAGAACTCTTTGAAAGAGATATGGAAAGAAACCTGCATAACCGTGTTAAGAAAGAAGAAGAAGCAAGACAAGGAATAGATCTCTACGGACAGATGAAAGCTGATAGAGCAGGGAGAGGAAGATGGTGCAGCAGGAGATGAACCAGTGCAGTGCGGTGCAGCGCAGGGATGAACAACAAAGAGAAGAACTAAACATAACCTATAAAACACTGGATAAAGAAGTGAAGAAGAGTGTACGCAAAGACATAAGACACTTCTGTAACACACTTGTGAGTGAAGCAGAACAGGCAGCAGATATGAGAGACAGAGACCTGACAACATTATATCAAATAACCAGGTTACTATCTGGGAAGAGATCAATACAGATGAAACCAATGAAAGATAGTGAAGCAAACCTAGTCACCAAACAGGAGAAACGAAGAAAACGATGGGCTGACCACTTCATAAAACTCTTGAATCGACCACCACCACCACCACCACATGCAACTCGTCCAGAAATTCCACCAGCAGCCCAGCTACAGAACTATCACTGAACACAAGCCCTCGGATAAAAGCCGAAGTCCTGAACGCCATTAAGTTTCTGAAATCCTGGGAAGCACCAGGACCAGATGGAGTTACACCAGAAGCACTGAAAACAGATGGATAGACATCAACAGCAGACATGATCACACCACTATTGCAGAAGGTTTGCAGGGAGGTAAGGTACCTACCTGCCAACGGATTGGAAGAAGAGCTAACTTGTCAAACTTCAAAAGAAGGGAGATCTAAGCCTTTGAAAGAACTGGTGCAGAATCACCGCTCTGTCTGTGTCCACCCCAAGTAGACTATCAAACTGCATCACCCTGGAGAGACTAAAAAATGCTCTGGATTCAAAATTAAGACCAGAACAGGCTGGCTGGATTCAGGAAGAACAGACCATGTGAGGATCAAATTGCAACCCTACACATCATCATAGAACAGAGCATAGTATAGCAAACAACTGGATCTATACCTCAACTTCATCGAATTTGTAAAGGCCTTCGATAGCGTCGACTGATAAGTAATTTGGCAACTGCTTCAACACTACAAAGAACCACAAATTTTATCAATCTCATTCAAAAGATATATGCTATATGATGCTACATCTCAAGTGATTCACAATGGAAAGCTCAGTGATGCTTCTGAAGTGAAAACAGGAGTAAGACAAAGCTGCCGCCTACTATCACCGATCATCTTCCTGATTGTGGTTGACTGAACTGGATCATGAAACAAACTGTGAGGAGCGAGAAGATGGGCACGCGCTGTTTGACCGATGAAAAGACTCCAGGAGATTTGGATTTCGCCAATGATGATTTATGTCTAATATCGCACATACTCGAAAATCTGCAGACGAAAACTAACAAGTTGGTAGAAGAGGCAGGGGAGCGAAGACGGCACTTCCTTCCGGTGAACGTAGAGAAGACAGGGGTGATGAAGATACCCAACCAACAACAGTATCAACAACAAGCACCAATCACCATCAACGGGAGAAACCTAAAGAAAGTTGTCTCTTTCACTAACCTAGGCAGTATCCTTTCAGCTACAGGACGTCAAAGCCGGGTTCGGAAAGACAACAAGACAGGGCTTCATTAACCTGAAATCAATTTGGAAATCTAATGCATTCCATTCAGCATAAAGAACAAGGTCCGGATTTTCAACACCAACCTCAGTCACGTCAGTGCTTCTATACGGTTCAGGAACTTGGCGCGTTACGAAAGGGATTTCCAATAAACTACAGACATTCATCAACAACTGCTTACGGTGGCTCGATACTGAAGATAAGATGGCCAGAAAGAATAAGCAACAATGAACTCTGGGAACGAACCAACCAAGAACCTATCACCCAACAAATATGCAGAAGAAAGTGGAGATGGATAAGCATACACTGAGGAGGCCGGCTGGGGACATTACGCGTCAAGCCCTCGAGTGGAACCCCCATGGCAAGCGACGAGTTGGGCGTCCGAGGGTGACATGGAGGAGATCTTGTGAGGAAGAAATGAGAGCTTCTGGGCTGTCGTGGAGCCAGGTTCAAAAGATTTCAGAGAACAGAGTGAGCCGGAGACGTGTCACTAAAGCCCTATGTTCCATTAGGAACCCAAGGGATAAATAATTAATAATAACCCTGGATATAAACAAAATAGAATTTAGGTTATAAATCAATGATATCCTTTATGTCACAAAAACTAGTTACATACAGTTGTAAGTCTAGTACGTTAGACTATTGAACTACATCACTACCAATCTACTGAAAATAATTATGCAAATGTTCTATTGGTGCATGACTTTTAGCATTCGAATCCTGGAAGATAAACACAAAACTAATTGTGTTTCTGAGCCCATGTCTTGTGACAGTACGTTTCATTTGATAAAGTGACATGGGAAGTATGCCACCTTCTCGTAAACTTTATGAATAACCAGTCGTTGTCCTATCAAATACACCATTACTAGATAATACGCTTAGGGACAGCACTCTAGAAACTATTTTCTATTTGAGAACTACGCTCTACCTTCTAAACAAAACCACAACTTAAATGTAAAGTAAAAGTACAAACTACATCACATGACTTCAACTAATAATGTTAACTACATGCGGTAGAAAATCAGATTTATTAGCATCATCTATTACAGCTGAACGAAAGAAAGATGCACTTTATGGATGACTGTACTTGTGCACGAGGAAAGGCATCAGGACCAGACGAATCGGTAAGAGGGTGATTTGAGGATGGTGGTCGCAGATAACTGGTCAGGTTAACTGAAGTGCTAGCTACTACACGAGAGTCATATATGATTCCCTCTGATTGATCTCGATTACTGATTGTCCCGGTCTTCAAGGAATAAGAAAAATCCTCTCATAATAACTGCAGGGGTATCAGTCTGACAAAAATAGTGTTTAAGATTCTAGTTTCTATAATCATTGTACAAAGAAACCGAGAAAACCAGGCAGGTTTCGGAGCTCCCTGCCGGTGCATCTATTAAATATTAACTCTGCACCAGGTCCTGGAACACAGGTACACTTAAGACGCCCGGCACTGGTTGTCTTTCTCGACTTGAAGACGAGATCTGACTCCGTTAAATGGAGAGGTCTTGTGGCAGTATCTTAATGAAAGATGCGTCGAATAAGAATGTTTCGGATGCGTTTCTCACCACCTAAATGTAAACTTTTGCTCCAGGACTGGTCTTCAGTGGCGCCCTGTCGAACAATAGGGAGTGAAGTTGTTGGGCGCGATGACCGCTTCGTTTACCTAGGAAATAGAACCAGCCCTGATGAGTTAGTGACCGACAAACTCATTGCATAGATAAAAAAGGCTTGATTAGCCTTCGCTGTCATCATTTATGACGCCGAAGTGATATCCGACTACCCAATAAGGGAAAAACGTACTATGCTGCAGTTTGCTCCATTTAACTGTATGGTTGTGGAACATGCCCATTAAAGGGTAAAGAATATGAAAAGTCTCTAACCACCGTCACCTTTCTAGCATAAGCCGTGTCATGATGTCACTGAGACAGTAACGTGAAAATCAAGCGTAACGTTATTGGGAGACGAGGAAGGTCATTCGATGAGGCTATGAACCTTCATGGACTCAGATGGTTAGGACATATACTACTCACGCCTAATTACTGTCTACCTTATTTCCCAGGGCTAGCTGAGACAGCTTCAGGTTGGTACAAGGTTAGAGGTGGCCAGATTAAAACATTTCATCATTTCATGAAGTCTCTGGCTGTTGGTCTGAGCTGTGTAGGGAGATGTGGACTTCTCAATCTGCGTCCATGTGACAACGAAAACTAGTGGTTGGAGACTTTACATGACACGGCTCAGAATCCACGTGGCGTAGATGCATTCACAGACTATTCGAATTTTGTTTATGATACTGAATTTCATTCTTCCTTCCTCTCCTTTGGTGACTTTCTACTACTTTTGAATGCTTTCTTCTTTGTCTCTTTATTTTTTATCTTTATGTATTCTCGTTTGATATATTGACATGAGGTGTGGCGACTTGGACCGTTACGTAGTTACACCAGGTCCTATGTTAATTTTGTCTTGTTGATGTCCGCACTTACTTGACAGTGATTGTTGCATCAAAATAAGTATGTATCACCTGTCGCCAAATTTTCAGTGAGGAGTCATGATTAGGGTTGGACAAAAATATTGTGTAGAAATAGGCTCATTGGTAGCACTGAATGATGAGAAAGTTATATCAAGAATCGAAAAAAACTGAAAAGTGCGGATCAATATATTTGGACTGGGTTTTGAATGGTAACAGACCTTACACTTATGAAATAGATTCAGCATGGAGTAGTGGGTGTAAATGACTGAAAGGTCCGGAAATAAGACGAAATAGCTATCCATCACACTCAACAGTTTTATAGTCCATATCATTTCATGGAGAGGACTACTTTGAAACAAATAAACGCCTACACATATAACCAAATTGCATAACAAACATATGACTAGCTTTTTTCGACTATTAATGTAATATTTAATCAGTGTTCAAAAGTTTTGATGAAAATTCTCTTGAAGAAGCGCATAGATACATTCGGAGTAATTGATTCAAGGAAATAAATAGCATCCAAGAAATCACCAGTTCTCAGGCCCATAGAGAATCTTGTTTTGTTTTTGTTTATTTACACTCACACCTTTAGTTTTTTTCCAATTAGAGAGGTTTCCGTCGAAAACTACATAACATTAGTATCAGTATTCACCGATTAACCATTCACTCACAAATTTAAACCTACTAAACTCATTTCAGCATCAGTTACTAATACTTTTATTAAAGCTCAGATATCGGCTGTGGTTCAAAGTCGAATAAACAAACTTATTTGAAATTGATGGATTGAATAAGTGCTGTTCTATTCTATACTAATCAAACGTTGACCAAGTTAAGTATTCATAAGTCAGGTTGGTAGTAGAGCGATCCAGCTTTCACAGTAGATTTCCAAACTTGAACAACCCTTAGTGACACACTTTGGCAATAGAACCATGGAAAGTAAAAAACTATCCTGTGATACATATTGACTCAACTCCGCACAATAAAACAACTACAGAATTCTAACATCTTGTCAAAATAATTAATGATAGAAAGAAACTGAAGTCAGCGAATTTAAGAGATACATTTATCTGAAAAATCCAACATACCAACATATAGTTTCTACTTCATCACCACCTAGATGAACATAATCATCGACGAATAAGCGAAATATTTCGTTGAATAAATTTTCTAAAAATGTATATGTTCTATTCACAGCTGGATTAAGTGGACCGAAATACGCTGTCTTCTGGGAGTTATAGTAACACTGAGACATGATTTCTGGATGTGATAAGGATACACTTCGAGTATGACCTTTACATAGTAAATAAAAGTAGTAGAGACGAAAAGTAATGTCAGATAAATAGATGAATTAAATAGTCTGATTAATCTGAAGTTGGGACAAACTAAGTAAAACTGTGTCTGCAAAAGTGACTACATAAAAGCTCAAGAATAATATTTTTGACTGTAGAGGTGCATAAAATGTATCCATATCAATGAAGAAGCATAACTTATCGAAGGTAGCAACAATAAGAACTACACAATACGATAGTAGTCGTGAACCAGTGACTAATCGCTGTGCTGTGCATAGAACAGTCTGCGTGTTCTTGTTAACTTTTACTGATGAAAATCCTGCATCAGGCGGATGGAATGCTTAGATTCATACTGAAGAAAACATACATCATCGTCGTCGTCCGTTTTAAGCCCTATTTTTATGAATCATGAGTAGATTTTTAACTTTAAAAACTGATCACAGAGAGTATGTATAAATCAAAGTAGTAAGCAATCTCAGGTGTGATGATTAAGAGTGTACTAAGCTTTCAGCATCATCTGTATACAAAAACAAGGAAGCTATAATCTCTCCGAATACCGTTATAATACATTCTATTATAAAAAATATTAGCAGTTATACTGAGAAACTATCCACTGGATGTAAAACTAACAGACTACTATAAAAAACAACATGACCATGTAAGTAGTTGTACAACTTTCCATTCCGTTCTGTCAACTTATCAGATGATGAAAACATAATACCTACCATAAGTAGAACAAGTGAACAAAGTTCCAAAGCCAGAATACTATCGAAAATAATTCTAAACCTTTTTTCTTGCAATCAAATGCTATTTTAAATTTCAAAGGAGAAAAAGCAAACTACTAGTAACATAATAATAATACCCTACTAGATAAGTAGTTGAGCAATGCATTCAAATACATGCATACCTGGTATATCAAATTCAGGAATTACACGAATACCACGAAATCGAGCGAATTCCAAAATCTCATCAATATCGTCAGTGGTATAAACCAAGTCCTTTCGATAAGCACCCTGTAGATAAATGAATAAACATAGCGACAATTGATACAAGTATCAAAAAGTCATAAGAATCAAAACAAACGAAATTGTTAAATACGTGATAGTTCAAAAATGAAATATAAGTTGGCCTATTCACTTCTTTGCCTAACGGTGAAACTGATTTGCTTTTAAAATAATAGCACGAGTTTAGTGTGAGAATATGCTGTACAATTAGTTAAAAGTCAACGGTTTGGAATGTAATCGGACCGTACTGAGGAAACCGATACAGTGCATCAAAAACTTTTTCTCTGATACTTTTGAAAATAGAAAAACATATCATTTTGAGTCGCTTCATAATGCAAATAACCAACTGTCAGATAAAGAACAATAGAACATGTCCTATCCACTTTTTTTAAGCCTCGACTGATTGAGTAACTATAAAGGTCAACCTAGGTAATTGCTGAGGTAACCAATTGCATTTCGCTATTTTATGAAAAACTTCCTTTCTAGCTGGAATGTCGAAACCCGGTTGGTTATTTCAGCAGTTGTTCGGGTGGGTATTAGAGTCATTGAACTGATGCACCAAACGGACACTGAATGCAGTCAATTATTGACTCAATTAACTTTAAAGGCCACTCTAGCAACCACTGAAATGATCAATTAGGGGAATTAAATAAACCTAATTGGTCGTTGCTAGGGTGGTCTTTAAGTCAGCCTATTGACTCAGTCGTATTAGTTCCAAAATGCTAATTATCCGCACACATATATTTTTCCTTAGACTATCGGAATGAGGTTAACAAATACCATATATGAGCAGATTACAGACTGCAGGGAAAAGGTTAATAGATAAATATGAGCAACAAAAATCGATGGAAATCTCACGATATTTTTTGAAGCAAAAACACGCATCAGACTAAGAGAAAAATAGGTGTGTTTCTAAAGGCCACCATAGGCTGACACGGTAGCTTTCCCATGAAATCAAAAAATCTAATTGGTTACTTCAGCAATTGCTGGGGCAGACTTTAAAGTCATTCGAAAACAAAGCTCACAACTGGTGAACGAATGTCTGTATTTAGCACATGTTTACTGACAGGTTATGTATAGCAAACATCAGTTATGAGTTTGATGAAGTGCAGACCTTTCGATTTACGGCGGTATATTGAGATGAATGGTTCCCGATATGATGTCAGTCCATGAAATCACTAAATCAACAAAAACCTCAAAACTGAATACAGGAACTAAGTGCAGTTACTAACTTGAACTCACCAGGTAAATATGGTGAATCGGTCAAGTTCACTTTACCCGTATCTGAGGATTCAAAAGGTAGCTCTCGTGGTTTCACTGGTGTCCACACAGCAACAGATTGTAGCGGAGAAAGCGCACATTCCAACTAGATGCCAGTCAACAGGCGTATGAGTACTGGTCTCACTTAATGGATCTGTAAGAACTAAGAAGCATTGTAACACTTACTGATGCCTATTCATGGTCAACTGCAATTCAGATGATACAAAGGATGAATTCTACCAAAAGCTTACAATTCCGCTTTACAAAGTAAAACGTTCACACATAGTCATAATAACAGATGACTTCAACGAGCAAGTAGCAAAGCTGAGTCCTTCAGAAAGGTAATCTGGACGTATCCACAGTATCCCATGCTAACAAACAGACAACGGTGACCGTCACTTGCAATTTTGTTCTGACAATCACTTGTTTCTAGTTATCACTAACTTAGAGCATATGGAGAGGGACTGTTTCATTTGGCATCTGCAGACAAACATTTTAAAGTTCATAGTTATCCGACATCTAATCGAAGCTCCAGAAAGACAGACGAATTTCAGACGAAGACGAAAATGGATCGATCAGATCATGACCGCTTGACACGTTCTGGAACTCAAAAATTATTATTTGGATCCCTAAGCTATCATCTCGCTTGACCTGAAAGCGATATTCAACTCTGTCGACTCAGACATGCTGTAGCAATGTCTGATTGTGAATGCAGTACCGACGAAGTATGCAATACTAATAAAACCTCTCTACTCATTCGTACACTGACATGTAGGTGTTTGAAGAGTATTCAATAAACTTGATACTAAACACATTCCACCTCATAGTCATGTCTGTCAGACTAATGTTTAGTGCTGTACAGTGTGTCCAGATGACATTGATTGGTAATGACAATAAGAGCTGTGCAACTATATTGTAGCGGTTACTTGCTTATGTGTAGTTATCCTTATATGTATGTCACAGTACAGTTACAAGGAGTTTTGAGCATGTTACATAGTTTCAAATATTTCTTTTTTCTTCTTATCCGAATTAACTATTTGGATTTATTTGTTTATATCAAATTAGAATTAAAAAGTTTGATTGAATATGAATAAGTAAATGAACCTAGTGTCATGTTAGTAGAGATTATTAAAACTTTCTATCATAACTATATCAACACTTTGTAGTTTAAAGTGTTATGCATACTCGTTGTTCTCTTTTTCTTTTAGCTTCTCATCTCCAGACATTCTCTTCTCTAGAATGAATACATGTGCATTTTAGCTGTTAAACATTTTGATCACTGATTTTTGTTTAATATCAGATGGATTTTTCTGTGATTTCTGCTTCGTTCGTTTCGTTTGTGGTCATCAAAATTCCAACCCCACCACTTACGTTAGCCTGTAATATTGTGGTACCTTAGGGTACACTTCACTGTTAGTATTTTAAGGCAATGGTCAGTTAATACATTTGTTCATCAACTAAATCTCAGCTCGGATTCGCAATGCCTGTTCAGTATTCTCCAACTTACGCTATCTCTGACGCAAAATAGACATACGACTACCTATAAACGCACAATTATACTGCGCCACAGTCCCCTCGGTCCTGTTATACGGCTGCGGGATATGTTGTCGAATGTAGATGCGAAGAGGTGACAGGTTTTCGACCACAAGCGCTTTTATAACATTGCTCATATGCGCTAGAATTAATGTATGAGCAATGTAGAGGTTAGGGGAAGGGCACCAGGCAAAAAAATCAGGTCCAAAGATGACGTTATGAACCTTCACCAACAGAGGTGTCTTGAACAATCTGTGATGCATGCCGAGCAAATGCCTGCTACGGCGCGTAATGTTAACCGAAGTGGGACTGGGTTGCAAAATGCTCAGTGTGGTCACACCGCGATGTGGCAGCAGTGCATGAAATCTGTAACTATTTTTCTGAGCCGTTTCGAATGGTGTAGACTGTTTGGGGTCCTCGAGATAACGAGAATCAACGGTTATAGACCTTTTCTGGCATGGCTGAAAATCGGTTGCAATAGTGCAAATGTTTTCATTCCTTGACATCCACGAGTAATTGACAATCAGATATCCTAAAAGTACAAGTGAAATATAAGCCCGTCTTATCCCCGTGTAGCCTTATAGTTTTTTAGATTGAACTTTTGGTGATGAGCTGCTGCAGAAACCCCTCAACAGGTATTTAGCTTAAACACCCCCAAGTAGTATCACAATCCTCACACAATCCACTACTATAGACACCATGAAATACCTCAGAGTGAAAACAAAAAGCAGGTAAGATTCAACTGGAACCAAGATACATTTCAGGTTGACTAAGAGAACTTTAGTTCTGCTTATTAATCTGAGTTACAAGAATTAACAGAACATTTCCCACTGGACTGTTAAACAGTTTTATCTGAATTAATTTTTCAGTAGCCTTGAAAAAAACCACAGCATATAATGTTTACCAATGGTCTAAAACTGAATGACAAACTTTAATCAAGATTATATGAGATTATTGATCGGGCGGGGATATAAAATTGATGTTACGCAGTCGGAAACAGTGGACTTGGAAAATTAAAGGAATAGAAGCTATAGATAAGATTTTCTGTCGATGAGATAACAACAAATACTACTAGTCCTTAAAACATAACTTTTCAAGTCATATGTATATTAATGAGAAAGGTGAATAAGGATACTGAAAATGGAACGGTAATTAACCTTTCACTATAATAAAATTTCTGAAGGTAGTTTTCACGACGAAGCTAAAGAACCATTGAAAACCTGAGGGCACTGAGAAAACTGTTTCAGTAATGCACATCCATGACTCTGATAGATATTGAACTCAAGACTGTCCAGTCTCATGCAGAGCACAAAGTCATTCAATTACTGGACTGGAATCCAACGGTTCATATTTTCCTACTTCCATAAATTCATATGGTGGAGTTATTATCCAGTGTCATCAAAGAGTATTCATTCCTTACACTAGACTTGAGTCAGCCAACCCTGCTGCTAATACTCTTTGATTTCTGCTCATCTTATCTCCTAGACCATTGTAAGTGTTGAGAACTCTAGAATGTTTAAACACTTCGTGATGTACGTTTCCTGTCTATCTATTCAGTTGCAGCCTCTCTCCTCATTTCTAAAATACTTATCCAGCCATCCTATAGATTGACAGCCTCATCAATAACTGCTCCCAGTTTGTGTTCATACCCACATATTTCCATCACATAAAACCAACATTATCTCCGTACAGATAAAGTATTTTCATACAAACTTTATTAAAGTAAAATGAAGTTCGGCATACATTTTGCTTCAAGTCAAACACTTCACTAAGCTTGAATATTAATATGAAAGCTTAATATGAGATTCACACTCTTGAAAATTAAAATCGAAACGCTACGTGTAAAATTTACTATATTGATGTCTGCTTGGCGGCTAATAATGGACGCGTATTTCATCCTACTTGGGACTCGTCAGCTGGGTGTACCAGCACCCTAGTGAGTGATGTTCACACTAAGATGCACCCAGCATCCATTGCTTCAAACACCAATGCGTTATCTACCAGGCCAAAGGGGCACGACAGTCACCACTTGTGCAACGGGTATCAGTTGTTGTTTGTCGATAATTTCCCGTTCCTATACTAGGTCGAATCGCTTAATCTCTGCCGGCAGATAATCTCCTATGCGAATGGACCACATACGATTATTAATAATAACTCGGTGACCATGTCTTTCCAAACAACCTGGTACCTTGCTGTTCAACATACTTTCAAAGTTGATACGAATTGTTGAAAGAAGACAAATGAAATCTGAATTTATGGAGACTAATATCGTATAATGTTACTCAGTGTTATACGGTGAACAAATAGCATTAAATTCACCGGCGATATTAGCAACAATGAATACAAGGATATTATTGATTGTCTAGCCTATAAAATAACAATCTCCTGAAAAATTTTAATGTTATCCAGTAAGCCAATAGAATCTCAGCTATACAGAGAAGAAGAACAAACAGCCAAAGAAAGTGGGAGATGGAGACAGAAACACAGGACAAAAACTGCATGCCATAAGAACATAAACACACACACACACTTTGTGTCTATACGCATCTATCTGACAATAATTTGCTCTATGTGTATATAAACAGCACACAAAAAATAAGTGGAGTCTTGCCTTCTATCCATTGGAAAAATTGCTATAGTTTACACTTACTTTAGCTGAAAGTTCAGGATACACATTGCTTTGATAAGGGAATGATTGATCATCCACCATATGCCAATGAAAGACATTCAGTTTATTGTAACTCATAGCCTCCTGCAGTAGATTTTTGAATAGAAAAAAAGAAAGGAAATCAAACAACTATTTACAATTCTTATAATGATCGCTTCAACATCATACTGATTATAGTCTTTATTTGAATGATTTGGAAGCAGCATTTTTTTAATTTGATGAAAAAAGATGGAGTAGTAGTGATAATGAGAACGCTGGTTAGGCCCGAAGACTGACAAGTTTATGCAGTAGTGACAAAACAGAATAGACCCGTATGTGTACACTTCCATTCGTCACTAGACTCAAAGATAATTTGCCAGGTCAAGTATACGCTTGTGACAGTTGGCTTAGCATTCACTCAACTAGAAACTGTTCATTAATCATATAATTCTATCTATTTAGTGAAGAACAAATCAATGGCATTATAGGCAGAATGTATATTATACATTTTCAAAATTCGCCTGTTATTTCATGAGGTTGTATTGTATATTACAATCCAACACTTTAATCTCTTATTTTTATTATTTTTATGCACTTAGCATCCCTGTACATATTCACACAGTAGGTACTGATCAACGCCTAATTTGTGAGGGCTAGTGATAATATCTGACTGCCCAAACTTCGGTAGGTGGAGTGGGGGCTCGAACCCATCGGTTGCAAGTCACCTCCCTAAACCGGTGAGCCACAGCTCCACACACTTTTCATTCACCTACGGAGTAATCTTGGAAGACTAGTAGTAATATTTTAGGAATGAGAGTGGCAGTTCTTCCTATATTAATGTATCCGTTCAAGACTCATGATTTGAACGACCTTATTATTACCGAAAACGGAAGGCTAAAGTGTAGAGTACTGTCATACAACTCCTATAACTCCCATTTATTCAAATGAACTTATTAAAACCAAAAAGGGCATTCGATAATTACAATAGCAGCCGCTGGATTGGCGGACCGGTGCTCTACCCACTGAACTATGTGACCCAGACAGCTCAGATAGTCAAACTGATATTCAATATCATGCTCCTCCTCCTCTGTAATTCGGCTCACTTTGGATTGTGATGAGAAGACCTGACTGGCTAGTCAGTGCTATTAGGGTGAACGAACAGTTACGTATCACGGATTCCTATAGCTGAGCAAAATTCTAGGTGATCGAAGTGAAGTTAAGATCTAGTCAGCAGCTGCCTCTCGTAGCTCAGTTACTAGAGCACCGGTTGGTGACGCACAGACAGCTGGTTGAATCCTGCTGTAACCCAGATTTTAATTTCACCCTGAATCTTCATCCAATATTATTAATACAAATGTCACAAACCACGATTACCTCAGAAAGTCACACTGATGGTTATAAAACAGCATCAAGAATAAAGCTGTAAGCTGACGTTCCTACAAGGAACTGGGTGGGCTTCAAGAGCACTTTATGAATTTTTTCCTGTGCAACGCTGTTACTTACAACAGACTTTGTTGGCAGGTTCAATTCCTGATAAATATATGATAGCTGCAAAAATAAAAATCACCACCGGGTTTCCAAAGCAGTCCTATACCAACTGAGCTACGGGACCTAACTACTGATTAGATTTTTATTTCACTTCAAAAAAACCCTAGCGATTGAAGTGAAATAAAAATTTGGTCAGCAGTCAGACCTCATAGTTCAGTTGGTAGAACACAGAGGTCAGAAACCCGGTGATCGCTGTTTCGAATTCCGTCGCGGCCCAAATTTCAATTTCACCTACAATCATCACCCAGTTTCAATACTAGTCTACCGAACCACGGTAATGATAAGTTTTAAACTGTCAACTAGTTGTACGGCTGATGTTTGCATTTTTCCAAGTTTCAGAGTTTTTCAGCTCTGTTATATGTTCAGAAGCGAGAAATAAAAGTTTACCATTCAATGTCAATATCAGACATTTCACTGATAAGTCATTCAGATCACAACTGTCATCCTAACAACCAAGTTAATCATACGATTTCAAAACTACAGCAGTTCCCGACGAGTGATAGGTATGTGTGCATTTTTAACCATTCTAATATCGATAGGGTTTCTGTTGGGAAGTAATCGGTGTGATCTCATTCAGGAATATGGTATAGCGTGGAGTATATGTAGTCAGAAACCTCCAATGTTAATCTACATAACTGATAAATCACGAAATGTGTTCCTCTTTGTGTATTTTTTCTAACAGAAAACTATCTGATATAATAAATGAATGGTTAGTGAACTACTTCTTTGAAAACAAAAAAACCGACAAGAACCACGCCGTTTGTAAGAATATTTATAAGTCATTCGGCTGCTTTCTGAAATATATGCATAACGCAGGTAAGCAGAGCAGAACACTTCAGTTTTACGAAATGATTCTACCCGTCATTCACCCCCAAACAAGTTTTACAGCTTAGGATACTCTGCTGAGGCTGGTAAAACACTTGCATCGGTATTAGGGCTTTCGGATTAAACGTGCTGGTTGGTAATGTATTTTGTTAACCCATCCAAATATTTACAGCGGGATCCAGACAATCTTAGTAACCACTTCAAACAAAAAAATGAATGACTATGAAAAAACAGACTAAATGCTTCGAGAGAATACTTATACAAAGGACTTCACACTTAATAACAAGCAATCCAACTGATCACAGTTACAGTCAAAGAAAGCAGTCGACTGTTTTATTAATCTGGTCAATTGATTATTATTTATTATTACATAATAATCAACAAATGAACAACTGAAAAGTTAGATAGGTTATTATATAAGATTCCACCTTTTATGGAGTTACAGAATCGAATTGATTCGGTATTATCGCGATATCAGATTACCGTGTAAGTACTACAATACTATATTTGAAACAATAGGTTTCTAGTTCAACTTCATCAACCAGCATTAACACATTCAGTAAACCAGCTTCAGAGAAAACGCAGTGTACATCTTGAATCTTAAATATTACTACTAACTTACTGGATTTTTCTTAATGATGTTATGACTTTAGAAAGTTTATACAATTTATTAATTATCACATTCAAAACAATGTTTATTTTAGCAAATTTCCACTGTACATACAGTTTGTGCAACCTTCCAGTCCAGATAAATGTTTAAAGGTAAACCATTCATTCACTGGGTCAATGAATTAAAATTAATTAAAACAGTAAAGAAATCAATATTTGATTACTACGCTAAATTTATCTATGTTCGAAACTATTTCCAAGTGGAAAACAGTGAACAAAGTAAACACAAAAATACTCACCAAGTTTAACAGAATAACAGATTTACTCATAAAATGCCTAGAAGTGTCAAGCATTAATCCACGATGTTTGAAACGAGGGAAATCTTCTATATACGTTTGATTAATAAAAACCTGTTGAAGAAGAAGGAACAATGCAAAAAAAATAAGGAATAGTGTGCCTCTTTTTCTTGTTTAAAAGGCATTTAACCACAGCCAGTTGGCTTGCAGAAAATCGCGTATCATAAGTGGGCAAAGATTGTAAAACTTAGTAAAAACAAAAAAAACTTTTTTTATAGTAGTGTTGGATAGTGGCCGGCAGTGGAATCCCAAAATTATGTTTCGTCCTATTTTGAACTCGTCAGCCAGATGTGCCTGCCTTCCAGTAAGCGATGTTGTTCTCACTAGGAGCCCGTACGCCAATAGAGACCAGTCAATTCGGTCCAATAAACGACGGTTTAATACAAGCAGCATCACAGAATAGAAAAACAGTAATAAAAATTAAAAAACAGTTGATGAACAAATGTATTAACTGACCATTGCCTTAAAATACTAACAGTGAAGTGTACCCTAAGGTACCACAATATTACAGGCTAACGTAAGTGGTGGGGTTGGAATTTTGATGACCACAAACGAAACGAACGAAGCAGAAATCACAGAAAAATCCATCTGATATTAAACAAAAATCAGTGATCAAAATGTTTAACAGCTAAAATGCACATGTATTCATTCTAGAGAAGAGAATGTCTGGAGATGAGAAGCTAAAAGAAAAAGAGAACAACGAGTATGCATAACACTTTAAACTACAAAGTGTTGATATAGTTATGATAGAAAGTTTTAATAATCTCTACTAACATGACACTAGGTTCATTTACTTATTCATATTCAATCAAACTTTTTAATTCTAATTTGATATAAACAAATAAATCCAAATAGTTAATTCGGATAAGAAGAAAAAAGAAATATTTGAAACTATGTAACATGCTCAAAACTCCTTGTAACTGTACTGTGACATACATATAAGGATAACTACACATAAGCAAGTAACCGCTACAATATAGTTGCACAGCTCTTATTGTCATTACCAATCAATGTCATCTGGACACACTGTACAGCACTAAACATTAGTCTGACAGACATGACTATGAGGTGGAATGTGTTTAGTATCAAGTTTATTGAATACTTTTCCTTAGATTCCAAAAACACTTGATTGATTGATTGATTTCATCTAAAATTCTCAACGACATCAGCAATATAAGATATGGCGTAGATATCGTCTTGACATGATGGAGAATATATGTAGCTCATGAAGATGATTTTGATAGTGTTATGTTCTCTGGGTTGGAGAAGTGAGTATAGTCTACTAATCTAGACTCAAACCAACCCTATATGCCTTCATTAAATGGATCTATGTCAGTTAACATGTGAAATTGATTTTCAAATAAAGTCTCTGCACTATGATACCTGACATAAATCGTTATTTAACAAAGGAGCCTAAGTTACAATTTAATTTTATATTTAACAAACCAGAGATATAGTACACAAAGGTACCTAGAAAACCTTTGTTCAGTGTTTGCAAAATATTACAAAAATATCAAGATGCAAATGATATAACAATAAGCAAAGACGATTTAGCCAATAAGATAAAACGAATTCCTGTCGTTATATTCAGTCTATTCTTTGATTACTCACATACAAACAGATATAACAAATCAAATAGCAACCAAAACTCCCTCAATAACCACTTTCATCTACATGTACTAGATAGTAAGTCATATATTTTGTATGAGGGCCAGCGATATTTCCTGGTTACTGAAACCCTAATAGGCAGGTCAGGGTTCGAACCCATGAACCACTCATTGAATGTTTCTTGACATAATAAGCCATAGCTCTATACACAAACTAAACATGGAAACAAAAAAAGCTTAATTGAGAACTCTAATACAACTGACTACAATTGACAGCTAATAATAATGTGATTATTAACAGTCCTCAGTTGTCCATATTGATTGTGAACATCATGATAAGTTGTGCATTAATCTGTAGATTAATGTTAGATGCCGCTGTAGAGGTAGTAGCCACAATTTCAGCTAACTGAATAGTCTTATGTATCATTTACGCGTTTATTCAAGTTGTACTTCAAAATGTGCTCAGAAAGACTTATTATTTGGAGGAGGATTGGAAGCTTTTGGAGACTATTATCTTTCACAAAGATTGAAAATGAATCAACCAGCATTTACACATAGATTATACACTGAAATACAACTTAGACCTATTGATTAGTTTTTTAACTATATTTATGAGTTCTGTCAAGACAGTAAAATAATCATAGTTTGTATGTCAGAAAACAGTGACAATACTCATTGTCTTTTATTCGAGATAAATTAAGACGTTCAAGTCCGGATATACATCCTGAAACTGATAGTAAGTTAAATTAGAACAATATTAGCGTGCATATAGAAAAAATTTCGATTTACTCAAGTAGATAAGACTTGACAGGTACAAACAAAATTATTAAACATGACTTTGTGTTTCAATTTGTATTAAAAATCACGTGTCATACGGTGCTGACAACAGATATGCAGTAAAGAAATTCAACTGCATGTACTAGTTAATGTTACCCATTTACTACTATTATTAGTATTACTATTATTATCATGTTGAAATAAACGCAGTGAGTACTGACTTAATAATGTAACTTAGCCGTCTCAAGACACCTAAAAAGTCGATAGGTACTGAAAAGGTTTAAGCACACGATGACCTATATTGGTTGGAAGTCAAAACCGCCTAAAACAAAAGAGCTACAGCTCTATATAAAAGAACATAATTAAGACAGCTACGATATACTGTGAAGAAGATAAGGTCTAGGAATTCCACGTACGTCTAGTAGTTGTATTAGCCAAAAGGAGAAAAAAACATATTTCATAGTCTTTACCTGTTAACTGTGTACACTTTCAGAGATATTATAGTAACTCTGCTGCAACTACTTTATTATACTCCTGTTGCGAAATCATCAGCATTTTATTGCGTCATTAACTTACCGATAAGAACTGCTCCACTAAAAAAGGTCCTCTAAAAGTAATACATTCTAGAGTTAATTCCAAATAGGACGATGATAAAAGATTTTTCGAAGTATAGGTAATTAATAGTTAAGAATGTTTCATAACCACGTCAGGAGACTTTACCCGCGGTTAATCCACAAACAGAGAAATAATAAATTTCAACAAATTCTCAACCTAAACCATATTTATCTTTATGTTACTGCATATAATTTCTAAACTGGCTGGTCTCAAAGAGCACATAGGCCCCTACGCGGACGCCTTGATATTTCCCGTAATTTCAGTTTGGTTACAATGATGTATAATGGCTAGCAGCTGCATTTAGGATGTACCTGCCTACTAGTGAGTGATATTCTCCCCATTAGGACTCGAACCCAGGACCAATCGCTCTAAACACCAGGGCGTTATTGACTAGGCCACTAAGTCACAATGGCCAGTAGTGCTAATCAATACGGCTCAATCAATGATGGGAAATTATAGGCAATAGCATAAAAAAACTATACCCATCGCGCGAGAAGTGGCTATCATTATTAAGTACCTTAGTAGATAACGGTTAGCCGTTTAAAGTGATCAGTGCCGGGCTCGAGTCTTAGTGGGGACATCACTTACTGAGAGACACTAACATTCAGCTGATGAGTCCAAAATGGATGAAGTGCACGTATTGGATTCCACTGCTAGTCAATATCCATCACTACTACCGAACCGGTTTATCTTATTGATAACTGGATGTCACGTAGTGGTTTCCAAAACATTTCATCGATCCCATTATCCATTGAGTGATGAGAAGTGATTCAAGTAACATAGTATTCTGCGTGAATAATTTACACATTAAAATGATACCAGATACTGGTTATTCATGAAATAATTCTGGATAGTTCGAACTGAAAAATGCAGGCATAAATGAGTAACTGATATGGTGACGAGCAGTAAGGTGATTTCCAAGTAAGCGATGGAGTGACTAATCTTAAGAATAATGTCACATAGAAATCTAATTAGGATCAACATCCCATTCTTCAGGTCGTATGGCTCTGACTCGTTTCCCAGATATCACTTGTTTGAATACTGCTTTAGACAAGGTCTTATTTCGATGTTGATTGTTATTATTGTATCACATATTAATATAAAAATTTAAAACCACCAAAAAATAACACATGCAAAAACCTTAGGTTATCCGCAATACCCGCATCATATTACGCACTTAATGTTACAAATAATGCATAACAATTAGATGAGAACCAATTATGAAATCCATTAAAAAATTTTGTTGACTCACTAAAGGCAGATTTGACGATAAACCAACACCGCCTAAATAATGATTCAAAATCAGCAGGGCCAAAATGATCATTTATTTCTGCCCAAAGATTTTTATCAGTACTCTATTTCTCAACAAAATAATTGAGCCTTTTATGTTCAGAAAATGTGTCAAGTATGTTTCCAGTCATCCGCTTAACTGGAATCTAACGCTTAACGTTTTCCGAATTCAGTCAGTTCATAGTATTATAGCTCAACTATCATTTTGTATCACCAGTTAGCATCTCTGTTCGTCGACTGAATTAGGAGTCACAAACGGAAATTACACAGCTATCCTAGCTTCTCGAATATCTTATTTACCAGCATAATAACTCAGGGCAAAAAAAAAGACTAGACTAGACAAAATGGTATTGAATAACAATAATCGTTTTCATAAAGAATTGGTTTTAACTGAAAACAACTTCATGCTAGAATAATCAAAAAACAGACAGACAGATTGACAAAATCAACGTAGAACCTTGCAAACAACTGAATCGGTTCAAATGACCACACTTCACAGTAGTATACAGAAAACAAGCGAACAAGAAAGAATGATATGAAAATAGTCAAAATTGAGAGAACGAATGAACAATTTGAAGATAACGGCGGACCCCAATCAAGCAGTCTACATCTCTCCACACGATACAAATCAAACGTCAGGACTTCATGCACAGGCGTCGCTTCTTAGTCTCGGCACAGTGCTCTTTCCCAACCTAGTCCAACTTCAACCACCATAGCACGTAGATGTAGAAGGTGGCATGTGGCACGGGCAACACATGTCCATGCCATCTCAGTCGACTGAGGTTCATAATCTCATCAATCAACTTGGCTTTCTTGTCTAGTACCCTTCAACTGACCTCAACATTACTCACATGATGATTCCACTAAACACAAGTCATTCTACGAAGATATCTGTGATCAAAACCCTGTAACCGCTTCATACCTTCTACTTTCAACGGCCATGTCTCATAGCCGTATAACAGGAAAGGATTGCAGTTTGCTCGTCCTTTGATAGTCCGATATCTCGTCAGTCGGCGCCACAGATGACTCAAGTTGGCAAATGTCAAACGGACCTTCCGTATCTGATCTGAGATTTCGTCAGCTAAAAAAAACATACCATGTGCATTCGATGTAAAATAGAAAGAATATCTTAATCTAGTCAGTGTATAGGGATGATGCAGATAATTCTTGCAACTGAGTAACTACGTGAAGAACCACATAACACCTAAGGACTAAAAATGTTTTAGAATAGTTCAAACCAGAGTGAACAGTGTGGATTCGCATCTGGTGTTCAGACAATAGATAGTACCTCTATTATAACGCAGTCTAAGCAAAATTAATCTTAAACCAAATTGTTAAACTATTCAAAAACACATTAGAATACATACACCTAAAAATTAGTGTAAAGAAATTGATAAGAATTCAGTCGGTGCGTAATAACGCGTCAGAACATGATCTGTTTAAAGTAGGTTAAGAAAAGAGCAAACATTCAAATCGTTAGTTGGAAATATCCCGATCACCGTTATTACCAACGGAAAAATCCTGAAGTAAAACGCTTAGGAACCAATAAATTCTATAAAATCTTGACAACTGATGAACCAAAACATATCCGAATCTCCTAACCACATGACCTTAAATTGCACTTCAGATTTTTTTAGTGAGTGACATAACCATAGCTTTAATGTTTAAACTGAACAAAATGATGATTGAAAGTTCACATTAGTGGGGTGAAAATACACTGGTGTTGAGGTACAGCGTCATACACTTCCCCAAAATCAATAGCCTAGGGTTTGACGAGATTCAACATTGATGCTGACCTTGATAGTTTAACTGGACTCGCTAAGCTGAAGGCAACCGGTCAAGCATCCTGGCCATTTGGCACGCTATCGTGCTACGTTGCACTGCTCGTAATAGACTCTCTAGACAGCTAGTTGGAACGCATCGGCATCTCGGCCTGACTTCGCAAATATACTATTCCATCCGATTCCATCGTGATACTTCTTGGTCTCGTATTCGTGGGTATATAACAAGTTCGAATAATTAGTGATTGGAATTTGCGTCTGTTAAGTTCGCACCAATAACAAATCTTAAATTGGTGAGCCTGTTCCATTTTATACTTGTATATTATTTTCATTTTGATAACCATTATATAGCCATATACAACTCTTTCTCATGTCCGACCATACTCCGAAGCTTATCCGTATTAAGCCGACTACGAACACTATCCAACTTGTGCCAAATTGGCCAGACAATGCAGAAACATGGTTTCTGTATGCCGAGGCAGATTTTCGAGAACAGGGAGTCGTGGATCCTCATTCTCGATTTCTCGCCGTCATACATTCACCACCACAAGAATTAAACAGACATGTTCAGCACATATTTTTGGCCCTGAAGTAAGCGATCTTTATGCACTTCTCAAAGCTGCACTATTGAGGAAATGTGATCTCATAGACCGCCATCGTCTAAGCGAATTGCTTCGTAACATCGAGCTAGGCAGCAACTCAACCACTGAAGTCCTAGCACGCATGCGAGAAGTTATGGGCACACGAACGTCCGACAATGGCCTTTTCCGAGAAGTGTTTCTCTCGAGACTACCACAAGCGTTGCAAACCGTGTTAGTGATACTTCAGTCAGTTACACTCGATGACCTGGCGGCCTCAGCAGAGAAAATAGTGGAGATCTCTAGCAGACCCATCTCCAAAGTATTTCTGGCTGCAATAAACCCGAGAGCCAGGATTTAGAAGTAACCAATCTGTGCAACTCTATTGAACAGCTGCTACGAACCCGAAGCCCTAAGTTACGCAGCACATCGTAGAAATGCCTCTCAGCCCACTACTAGTATATATATATAACTTTTTTTCATAAAATAGGCTACTGTAACGATTGTGGATAAACTAATGTTCAGTAAGTTTAAATATTTTTTTGTCAAAACTATTAAATTAGAAAACAAATGAAGACAAAAGCTACATAAAAGAAAGGTACAAGACTTTTTTTTAAAAACACTTACGTGAGAATGATCTGATGTAGTCCACATCAATTGACTTAAAGTTTCCAAGGCTCTTAAAACACCCCATGTTTCGTTAGCAACAATGAGAATTCCATTTTGTGAAACACCTAAAATATCTATGAAACGAAGTATATCCAGAAGGAAAAAATTCATTTCATACCGATAAGACAATTTTGACAATATTAAATGAAATTATTTTACTCGAATTGAACATGGTTGAAAAAACGCTGGGAACAATGAAGCACTGAATGACTGGTTTGTTTAATTTGGCGAATCTTTTAAAGTGTAGTTCCTCAACGTGCTCCAGCATAAAATTAATGTTATTATTATTCATTACAAGAAAGTTCAGGAACTACAACTAAGATTATTGCATATAAAACCAAAGTGGAGTAGACACAATCCACCAAAATCTATTCAGAAAAAACCAACTATTCATAATCTTAGGTTTACATTATGGACAGAAAAAAGTTGTATACACTTGTTAACCTTACTATCATGGCTTTTTCTGATCAGTTGAAAATAATTTTCCGCTCAATATACGAAATTCAATCAACAACTTACCTAATTCTCACTTTACTTAGACATTTCACAACAAGATTTTGCACTTTCTGTCTACATATTATTCAAGTGTTTAATTATTTTGCCTGACATTAATGCCTTCAAGAACGATATAAAAAGCAACGTCTTTTTTCTTCGCTGCAACTCGTCTGATTCTACATTTCACAGTGGAAACTTTTGTGTGTTTTAAAAACTAGGATATACAACGAGTAGGCAGGTTGGCATTATTCAGTTCCCACTACTTAAAAATCCAAGGTCGATGACAATAGATCACTTAAAATAGAACATAAGTTTTGACCAATATGATGAATTTTCAATTCTGGGTAAACAAACGTTGAAAGAAAAAATAGGTAGCTGGAGCATATTTACATCAGTGATCGAATGAAAAGTTCTTAAAATAAGTGTTTGCAAAAACAGGTCAGCTTTGCCAATGAGCCATTATGAATGGAAGAGGTCGATTCTTTGAAACACTGGTTGACATTGAAAACGGTACTGAAAGTGTACACGCATTCGCCTATATTTTGCCATAAAACTAGACTATTTCAAATTCTAGATATACGTAACTGTTCCTAAAATCAAGTTCTCACTTGTTGTTTTTTTCCTACTATGTCTCAAGTCTTCATATGCTTTCGAAGTGTAACACATTCAATCGAAACACTATTTCTTAAAGTTTTGCACTGTCTCCGTAAATCACCTAGTGACGTTTAATAATAATGATAATAATAATTCATTTTATTGCAAACAATTTGTGGAACATTTTGGAATTCTCAGAGTAATATATATTGCAATAACAATAAAATATAAGTATATACATACTCCTTTGCAGCCTTTCGAATTGTTTTATTATAAAAATTTAAGTAATGTAAAGAATATTAAAAACGAGAAAATTTTGCACTGTAAGTTGAATTATTGAAATGAGATTTTTAACAGTTACAAAGTTAATGTGTGATTTTTGTCCTAACACTTTTTTCCTCACAAAATATGCGTGCAAGGTAAGGTACTGTCGAATTCTTATACTTAGCTGTACGAGCGTACAGTCTTATGTAGTTTCTCCTTGTCCTCCCTGAGGAGATACATAGAGAGAGCTGTGAATGAAGTGGGTGTTCACTGTCAGTTAAAATTTCTGTAGCTAGTCGCTTGCAGGAATTTATATGTCGATCAACTACAGTGTTAATCAATTGAGCCAGAGACACACCACTCACCCTGCTGACGGTCTTCAAAGTCCTACGTAACATAACATAGTCCTTTTTAAGAAGACCAGGAAAGATTAGTGGAGAACAATATAGAAGAATAGGTAAAATGCAGGAATTAATAAATTGTAATAGAAGCAGTTGAGTTATACCAGAAAGCCTCAATTTCTTTACGTAATAAGACAAACGAAAGATTTTTTTACAAGTCAATAAAATATGGGACGACCAACAAAGGTCAGAAGTAAAACCCAACCCAGGATAGTTCACACTCGATTTACTTTCTGCAGAAATACCATTGATTCAGCAGGCGTCATGAGATTTAAGCAGCTCACATAAATCTTGTTTACGCCTGAGGCTAAAATTAATAGTCTGACATTTAGAGGGTTTTAGTGTGAGACTATTTGATAGGGACCATTTGCCAACTTCAGACAAAAATTCATTTAATTTCGAGCAATCCAAAGAAGAGTTTACTGGAATAAAAATCGTCAGGTCGTCAGCATACTTGATAAAATTAGTTTCAACAGAATAAGGCAAATCGTGCAAAAAAACGAAAACAGAAAAGGAGGAAGTACAGCACCTTGAGGCACACCAGCTTTAGTAAGCAATGAAGTGGAGCGAATCCCTTTATGAATAGTGTAATGTTTCCCTTCAGAAAAATAAGAATGCAGCCATTTTGTAACTCATGGCTCAATGTGAGCTATGGCAAGCTTATTTAACGAAAGTGGTCTAGGAACAGAGTCAAAGGCGGATGAGTAATCCAAAAAGGCACAACGGACATACTTAACACCTTTGTCGAGACTAGAAACAATGTTATGATGCAAGACATTAGCTGCATCTAAAGTACTCCTCCGGTGTTTGTAAGCAAACTGTTTTGGATCTCTAAAGGCCATCAATGAAGGCTCAGTCACAAGAAGAAGTAACTTCTCCATTGTCTTCGGAAAAGGGGAAGTTATAGCGATGGGTCGAAAAGTAACATCTGATCCAGAAGATGGCTTAGGCACAGATACAATTTTTATCTGATTCCAAGCAGTGGGTATTATGTTTTTAGAGAATGATACATTGAAGATATCTGTAAGTGAATGACATAAAATATCTGCACATTTTCTAAATATGATACTAGAAACACCATCAGGACCTAAGCTTTGGGAGGGATTCAAAGACTAGACATATAAATGCATCATTTGTATTGAAACCTGGAAAGCAGCTATGCACTTGATTTTAAACATTAGGAAGGTTGAAATCAGCTTGCCGACATATAAGTGACTTGTTTAACGCACAGACATCAGAACGAGTTTGTTTCGTCATCTGTTTTTTACCAGTAAGCTCTTTAAATAATTTCCATATATTGGAAAAGTTCTTACAAGATAAGAAGTTATAGTTTATGAGTTCAAGCATTCGAACGATCAAATACCACCCCCTGAAATGAGTTGGAAAACCAGCTTATTTCATTAATTACTACACAATGGATGTGGTTTACAGGCCAGTATATCAATCGCTAACTGATATTTCCACATAAAACATAATCATCTGTTGAAAGAATCCCGGTCAAAAATGCTAGTCACTACAGTGTAATTCAATGACGCAAAGGTAACTATTCTCATTACAGATACTCAAGGTCTTATATGTCAATGTCGATAGATGTCACACTTTGCGAATTACTGAAACAATTTTCCAGTGCCTCCTCATTTCATGTAATAGATCATTTGCTAATAAATTGTAATCCCAACTTTTACACAGTCATAAAAAGAAGTCAAATGCACCATAAACCTTGAAAGTGTTTGTATCAAACAATTGTTTGTAAATACCAGCATACAGCCAGGAGTGATCACCTTAGTATAGACCTATAGATTTATTAGTGCATCCCTAACCATTTATTAGTAACACTCGGTTAACTGCAAATATATTACTCAATGTAAATATCTTTTCAATCTGGAGGATTCCGGGGATTTTACTGATTTCAGGCTGGTATTCATGCTGGACTGACATTAGTCCATGATAACAGAAGTAGGAAATATGGACCACTGGGTTCCGACCCAGTGACTCAGTGGTAACGTGATGATCAGGAACCTGAAGATCCTGAGTTCGATCTCTGATGAGATCATATGCACAGCTGATTCCCATACTACCACATAACAGCTACCCAGCGCTCCCAGATTTCTGATATTTCTCCAACTGATGGCAGTCTATGATGAATGCAAACCTGAAATAAATGTCTTTTGTTGTAAATTTCCTAAAGTTTGTAATTCTGCATATAATGTGTCTTTATAATTCACGTTTACAAGTGTATGGGGATCGTACCTACTCACTGAGACTTCTATCAGTTAAAAGCTTCAACTAAATCAGTCACGTTAATTTCAGGCAAAAAACAAAATTACTTTTATGGGGCTTGAATAATGTCAGTGGTCAGAGGAGAACTTACATGATTCATCCATATCGATATGAGGCCATGATGAACCAGACTTTACCACATGCAATAAAGCATACTTTTGAATCCTGTTATATAAGATAGTGGATGAGGATAATTTGTATTTTTTTATCAACCAAGCTATTTGTTCAGCAATATAGTGATGCGGTAAATAGTTACTATTCAAAGAATCAGGAGTGGAAAAGCCGGAAGATGAAGTGTAAGAACGACGTGATGGGCGATGTCCACTGGCTCTTTTGTTGGGATTATTAATATGATTATCACTGTTACTAGTTTTCCTAAGGGTTCTCCCACATTTCGATTGGTAGTTTTCAAATAAATACGTGGATAAATTGCCCTCATCGTGTTGCCATAGTTTAGGGTAGACACCAAAGCCAAGTTTATTATGTATGATATAAGTGTATCGATTTACGGCCGACTAGCGAAATGAGAGAAAGGCAGATATACAAAAGTATGCATACAAGCTATCAATACACAATACATAAAACAAAATTAATGCATGGCAGACGGATAGTATGTACGAGTACGATGGTATGATATCCTTTGGGAGCACTGGATAGCTGCTTCGTTCTAGTTAGAGACTCATCAGCAGTGTGTATGTGTGACCTCAAACTCAGAACCACCAAATCTAGTGAAGAGCACGTTGGAATTCAGTCACTGGGCTGGAATCCAATGGTCCATATTTACCTATTTCTATCAGCTCGCAACATAGTGCGATCATCATCAAAATGCTAACGGCGAGCATTTGTCCCCACCACCTAATTTGGTTGACCCCACAAGCTACATATATTTATAAGAACTTCGGGACATTGATCTTGAAGCACACCATTAATGAGCACTAGATAGCAATTCAATTGGTTTTTTGTATATATTGATTGATTTCAAGGTAGTACTCACCACAGACTGATATCACTGAAGGGTGACGTCAGTCCACGGTCAGTGTGTGGTCACTAGGCAAGATAGTCAAGTTGACTGGTGAGGTTGTGAACCTTTATCGGCTGACGTGACTCGGACATTTAATGCGCATGCCAATTCAATGCTTACCTCGACGTGCTATGGTAGGGGAAGTTGGACCAGGTTGAAAAAGGGTCCAAAGAGTGACCATACAGAACCTGGCACCAGATGGTGAAGTCACTAACTGTTGGTCTGAGTCATGTGGAGAGATGCAGACTGCCTGGATGCGGTCCCCGGGATGAAAGGAATCAGTGGTTGAAAACCCTTTGTGACGTAGCTGGAAATCCGTCACAATGACGCAGATGTATTGACCCCTTGACGTCTTCTAAAGCTTCAGTATTTGCACTAACCGTTAACTTCAAACTGTTTATTCTTTCACACAACTTTGTCCATTTTGATATCACTCTTTTCCTATCTCCCTGTTCTCTGTGTACCACTGTGAGGTGTGGTCATTTGAACCGATTCAGTTGTTTGCGAGGTTCTACGTTGAGTTTGTCTGTCTATCCGTCTCTGTCACCAAAGGGTCAACCAAGTTCGATGTGAGGATAAATAATCGCCGATAGCATTGGATGATGGTCCACTACACCACAAACTGCCAAAAGTAGGAAGATGTAGACTATTCGATTCCGACTCAAAGACTGAATTGCAACATACTGGTAGTGCGACCTAATAGCCATTGAGCTTAATCTCTCACAACCAAGTAGGGTCGCACGACTTAACAGTCCCAAGCTAGGATGAAACGGCTGTTCACTACCCCCAGACTTTCAACGGTTAACCAACTGATATCAGCCCATCATGAATACCACCTTGAAATCAATTAATCCCCCTGAAACACAAACTAAATTACAAATCTATAAGCACCGAATAACCTAATGAAAGTTAAGTAATACAACATCTGTTTTTAACTGAGCTATCAACAACGTATTTGTCAGGCTAACAGCTTACATGGGATAATTTTCGCTGATGCTATAAGAAGAAATTTTATAACTTTCCACAGCATTGTACAACTTTTTTTGTTTATCCTGTTTACCAGGATATCAGTGTGGAGCTGTGGCTCATTTGTTTAGGGAGATGACTTTCAACTGATGGGTAATGGACTGGAGCCCCATTTTACCTACCGAGGTTTGGGCAATCAGGTGGCAGCACTGGCCCTCACATAATATGTGTGGTTCAAAGCCTACTGCACGAATATGCACAAGGTGGCTGACTGCATATGGATTCGAATTTCGATCAGGATGTTTTGCGTAAATTCTATCACAAAACTGTCGGAAAATACAATTGCCTACCGGAAAATCTACTGTTGCTTCACCCTTATTTATTTAGACTTGTTCAGATTACATTATTAAGATGACAATTCAGTCTACTACTACTGATACTACCACTACTTAAATTTTTACTCAAACCATATCTAGCACATGTTGCGTGGCCTCTTAGACTGAGTTCATCAGAGTGAGCTTTGAATGCGTTAAAAAATGCTTTAAAGATAATTTTTCAAAGTGGCAAACCTACAACTAGACAAATCAAGTTACATTTTCACTATGCAGGACTTTTCTTTACACTAGTTACGTCATGAAAGGTAATCTAAATTGGTTTTCAGTAAAACAATGAAAATATAATGTACAACAGCACATAAATGAACGCATTTAGGTGGAAATTGTATATAAAAAATTGATTGATAAATCTAAGTCTACAAACGCCGTTAAGTGAACGAATTCACGCCTTAAAAACAACGCAACATAAGCAGGTATAGGTTAATGACCTAGGCTATCAGTCACACTTATTGTTTAAGGGCTTGTAAACCACTCCTTTGTTCAGATGGGAGCTAGTGGAATGCAGTTTGAACCTATATATATATATATATATATATATATATATATATATATATATATATATATATATATATATATATATATATATATATATACATATGTATATATGTATATATATATATATATATATATATATCTTCTTATAAATTTTTAAATTGAAAATTTTGCTTCTTCATTTCATTTTCTACATTTTCCTTAACATTTTATAGAGCCAAGTTTGTCTGTCTGTACTATCAAATTTCGTATATGGTGTTGTCGATTGCATGGAAATATATGGTGACTCGTTTCTACTGCGTTCTACTCTTTTCTACCTCTGCCTAGAACCCTCTGTGATAGATTGTTGTTGAAAACGTTTAGAGAAAGGCTATCTCCTCTTCCCGAGTGCATTAACAATCTACTCAACGGCAGTGCCTCTCCGGCTTCTTCATTATCACATCATTCGACTCTTCAAATTGTGTTTCAAAGACTAAATTTTTAGTAAATTTGAGGCAATATCTGGATATATTTACAGTATTTATTGACTTTCTGATTGAATTTCTATTATTGTAGACTTTTTGTTGTTGTTAGTGGTTACATTTAGCAGAGACTTTATTTTTTGTGTTAATTGTATCTAGATCCACTACAACCCATTTCTTGAAAGTCGAGTCGTTAATTAGCAATAGATCACATTTCTACTATGAATAAATAATAAAATTAGATGATGGTGAATCAATGTGGTAAATAAATGAAAAAGTGTAACATACTTTTAAAATATCATTCGAAACTTCATTCAATTGAAAATGGAAATTTTTCGAATCTACAGTATGATAACAGAAGGATGATGACCAAAACTGTGGTAATGGCCATGGTGATCCAAAAGTTGGATAGGGTGATCGAACAACGGGTATTTGTATACCTGGAAAGGGTCTATATCGCCATGTATCCTCAAGGATGACATCATCGGGCAATAACGACTGAAATGAGTAATCAGTTCCGTAAAAAAATGAATAAAGAGAATGATAAAACAGAAAGTTACTTGGTGACCGTGAATATGAGGTCATGTAATTTTTGATAAACTGATATAAACATATTCACATTAAAACCAACTGGTTAGTGCGCTAAAAACGACATCACGGTAAGTTACCTTGGAAGCGTTACACTTTGTAAGCATACAAATTGTTGTAGGAAAGTAGGAATCCGTAGAGCGTAAATGTTTTAGACTCTACACTTACAACAGAAGAGAGGGCATCAACAGAAGCAGGAAGAGGTCGAATTAAACAAAGAAATAGGTAGAGATGATATATAAAGTAGCAAATAAAGTCTAGGATATGGATGTTGGAAAATGTTTCCATGTCATCCTAGACATTGTAACCGGTGGGGTTGCTGACAGCAGGGTTCAGCTCAGCGTTGAAACGCTTAACGATCTCAAATTTGACCTAGAGAATAACTCGACCTAATGCTTCCTGAGAATTTCTGCTGCATGCAGAAAATTTTAAAAAGATACTTGATTAAGTACTTGTCACACATGCCTTACATTACTCATCTCTTTCATAAGTATTGTGATATTTTTTGGCTGCACAGATCATGCACATGACAACACTTTCTCTAAACTCATAAGACGGAGACCAATCAAAGAAATTACAAAACACGGATAGGATTAATGTAATGAAATGCTTAGTTCTCAGAGTGTCATGCAAGAAAAGTACATCTGTACACCTTGCACCGATTCTGAAATAGGTGATCAAAGGTGCTCAGCTAACAAATATTCTTAATGCATGGGTAGAATTGATTATCTTGACTATTTTAACTACATGAAGAGTTAGGACTAAACTCATAAGCTATCAATCAATGAAACTTTAAACCACAAAGCTTTCCAGGTATTTTAGATGACACCTTCTGACATAAGTATGCTTTTGATAAGATAGTATTTAAGTAGCTACGTTGTAACTATAGTTGAAATAGGAACTTATTTCATGTTGGCATTCAAACTAATGGCCTTCAGATTACCAGCCTAATGCTTTATCGAATGGGATGCTAATAATGAGATGCTGACAAAGTGTCAATTTCACTTCATTCATGGAAAGATTCGATCTGCTGTTTTGTAAATGAATGACATCTAACTGAAAAGAAATAGAAGCATAATCAACAGGTAGGTCTTGGGTTTCAGTCGTTAGGGTAACGAGTCAGTAGCCCAAAAGCCTAAAAGGGTACTGAAACAACTCAAGCTTTCACCACAACTTCAGTCATCGCTCCATTTTCTGTTGTCTACCACCCAAAACGTATAAGCGATACTATATGCGCGTGATTGAACGGTAAAATTGTTAGGCTGTCAATATCTTCCCAGGTAGAATCACTGGTAATCGCTTTGATATGATGTGGGTCAACAGGATATTATTATCACTGTCTGCATTCACATTTCTATTGTTTGTCTCTATAACGTGACACTCTGATGCTGTAATTGCTTGACGACTTTCTTACTAGTTGATAAATTGGGTTTATACCTATATTGATTGGCTACTGGAGGGTAACCAATTTCATGTAGTCTAGTCCTAAGTGCTGATCTAATTCTATCGATCATTTTGCGATGCGGCCACCAGGCTAAAAGGCTCACCACTGCAATGCACTGAGATAGATGTTAGCTGGATGGAGGCAAACGGTAGGAAGCCCTGCATGAACTATGTTTCGTGCTTTTTGGAACTTGTCAGTAACGCTTATCTGCAACTTCGACGGAAGTGATGACCCGTCTGAGATTCGAACACGCGTCACTCAGTGTTGTAGTCAAAGAAGTTACCCATGAGCTATTTGGGGCCACGATTGACCTCCTTCACCGATATATTAAGTACGTTGATTGGCTACTGGGTTTATATCTATGCACCTACTGACTCGAATAAATACCATACTTTTAGAAATTCCTCGGCATTATTCGTTTCTTCCACTAAAACCTTTTGCATTTTCAAAATCGAATTTATGTCTACGGTCATTCACACATATTGATGTTAGGGATATATAGTGCCACTCAATTAATAACTGTTGTTTCATGCAGACGAGGAGAGTAACTGTTTTGTGCAGTGTAGCGTTTATCACAGTTGTTGCAGGTGATTTCATAAATATCTTTCTATCCTTTTTATTTACTGAACCCTATGACCTGTGTAATATCGCCTAAAGGTAACTAGTAGATGCACATGAAATCCTTGAAAATTTATTGGATATCAGGAGAATGCACAACCTTTGGCTTCTTCTCATTAGACTAGTACGAAAGGATGGGCAACAGTGGGTAAAATAAAACTACGGGTTTTCCAACATCAGTGTTCTAGATCCATTTTTAGTGGATGGCATGGTCACTGAGTTAGGAGAATATGGAAGACATAGGAGACATCAGTTGATACGGCTAGATATGCGTAATAAACCAAGCATTCTCTTACACATATTAAAATGTGCTATCTAGATCAAAAGAAGACTAGGTGACATGAATTCGGTAACAACCATAACGTCACTTTGCACTGATATGATCCACATAGGAAGTTGTATGATTCAAGATTAGAGTCAATTGATGTTATAAACACTTGGTCAGGAATTCCAAGTGATACAGCTCTAAATCGACCACAGTGATGCATAATTATTTACAAGTTATCTTCTTTCACACGCTATTTGTAACTTATGGACTCTTATGTTGCTGCTTGTATTATCCCGTAGTTGCTTGAACCGAATTGATCAATCTCTACTGGTATATGGGCTCCTGTGATGATGCCTCAATATTGCCTGTTGTCTGTACTTTTAGCCAGTATCCAACATTACGCACTCCTATTTAAATTTTGTCTTATTTTATCATTTTCGATTATCGACTGATCGTTTTCTCTTTTAATAAATGAGAAGTATGACGAAAAATGATGAACTAAGTTTAAATTTGTTGATTCCGTCGTTAAAAATATCATAAAGTAAATAATTTGACACTGCCAGTTAATCTGAATTTGATTTCATAAAATAACCAGGTCCATAATGGAGACTTGCATTTCTTGAACTTAGAAGTTCAATTTGAAAAGGTCCAAGATCATGCGGCGTAGGAAAGTCAGCATGCAGATATTCACTACAATGACAGTAGAAAACTGTGTACATAACGCTTAAATACTGTCAATACTGAATGAGACGACCATTGGATTTTTTGTCATTAACTACCAAGTGGGATTCGAAAGGTGTTTCACCCTATTTAGTACTCTTCAAGAGAATTCATAAGTATCCAAGCAACTGATGAGTTCCCATTGAGACTTTGACTTAATACCAATAGCTTCAAAAGCCAGTGCACTACCCACGAGACTACTAAGTTAATTAGCCACTTCTTATGCAACAAGGATCAATTGTTATTCAGATATCGTAGTTTTCCATTATTTACTGTATAGGACCGAATGAACTGGCCTCTGGTGTCATATATGAGTATCTTGGTATACACACCTTGATTTTTAAATGCGTTTCAAATGAGTTGTATCAGAGTGAAACTTGTGGTAATACGGAGGCAATCACGCTGGAATGACCATATGACAACAAAGTTGGGTTGATTCGGTCCCACAAAATGATTAGCAGAAAGATAAAAAGTTCTTTATCGATTCGGACTGAAAGAAGCAAGGTAAAAAGACTGATAATATACTTGTCTCACTCTATAAATACTGTTACAGATAAAATTACAGGTAACCATACGATGAAGACAAATAGGAAAACAATAAAACAATACTACCTCAACGTATGCATAACCAGGAGTGAAGTTTGCATTCTGACTTGAAACTGCATCTGTACAGAAAAAACAGGAATCAATAGGATGAAAAGCACAACGAAAAACATTAGACATTGAGGCGAAAAGAATATACATACATATCTGTTAATTACCTACAGGTCCTACAATACCACAGATTAAATGCTGTTTCATTGCTTCAATCATTCGATAAGTAAAATGGAAGGACTCCGTGAAAGGCGTTATTCCAGTATCACACACACAAACAAAAACAAGCACAAGAATCTGGTGAAACATGAATTTAGAGAATTTCATTCCAATCAGAAGGACAGTTACATGATTCAAGAGGATTTCCAGTTTCATTATTTTTTTTATGTCTTTAATCAGCATTAAAAGGAAATAGTTAGACCGAATAGCCATAATAGTATGCGTGACTACCAAAAATTAAAAGTGAGCAAAAATACTGTTTTTAAGCCTTTTGATTTATTGGTTTGGTCTAGCGACTTACTTTGCTCAGTCATGGCTTTTCGATTATGAAATCAAGGGATACCTAGAAATAATGGAATATACTTTTGACGACAAATGTTTCAGCCAATCGATAGAAAAGCTTTGATCATTCCTGAATATCTGCAGGCTAGAGACAGAGGCAATGTTCCATATAAGATTAGAACAAGTATTACTTAGTTCCACAGTTATCGACTCTAGCTGTAGAGTACTTTGGTCACAAAAGACTCCTTCCAGGACAAGTTATCAAGTGGTGATCAATGCAAATAGATTATTTTTTGTAGTTTCATAAGGAACAAATAGTAAAAACAGTTCTTATCAATGTATAAATCACGTTTAAAACACAAAGGTAATACGTGTTGTCTTCATGCTACAGATACGAAGTTTGGTGAACTCCTTCGTCAATTATCATCAACTAGAGATTAACAATGAGGGACCGACTGTAGATCTGCATCAGTCCACATCAAAATAGCGAGGAGAAATCGATAAGAGAGGATGTGAGCCAGTATAAATAACGGTTTCTGTAGTAGCAAAAAACTCCAAGCGAAAAAAGGTAAAGAAGTTAAAGACATACTATGAGAAGATATTTAGTATTTAGAGGGGGAATGAAATGTTGATACCTCGGAGAGATTACAACTCATTTTATGATATTTAAACCATTATATCTACAGCTACCCTCATATACTAACCACTGCTTATGTATAAACATACCCGCAACTATTTCCATACAAATTAACAACGTGGTTAGACAAAAAGTCAATGGCAGATTACCATGAAAACGATTATGATTATCTAAGTAATCAGTTCCAGACAATAATTACGATTGAAAGAAAACGTGGGTTGTGGTGGAACTGGAACTAAAAATTTTCCAGGTTGCAGGTCATCACTTCTATGTGCATAGCCAGGATAGTATGTGACCTCACATAATAGATGTGGTTCGGACAATGAAAGATGAAATAGTATATAACCACCGAACTGCCCTTCGAGTCTCATTGTTTTCATACGTAACCTTTTGAACAGTCAAAAATCTCCAAACCACTCAACTTGTTTTTATTCATTTTATACTCAGATAGTTAGAAGGGAATTGAAATACATCCAGACACTAATAAAAGGACAAGGAGAGTGAACCGCACTGTTCCTCGAAACACAAAACAATATGGTCAACAGAGTAAATATAAGTTCGTGAACTAAGGGGGCTTGAGCTACGGACACTATTTGAAGGCAAAATAATCTACATACAAAACAGCACATAATCTCATACATAATAGTCTTTCAAATAATACAATTAGCAGTAGCAGGTACTGAAGGAACAAACAGAAATAGAAAGATATTTCGATGAACAAGAATTAAAGAGAACGAAATAAATAGAGGTTAGTAAGATGCTTGTAATTTTGACGAAAGAAAAGGTGAACACACCTGATTTGTTGTGGTTGAGCTTGAATACTGTCATGTGGAGTCGCCAAACACTGGTTTCCAACGTACTGAAGACTATAGACAAGGAATTTCTAAGGCTAAGCTGAACAGTCACCGATTCTGTGGGTTGGTGTCATTTCTTGGTTTCACTACCGTTATCTTTTTTCGAAGCCTACTCTGGTTAAAACTGTGTATTTGGTTCAACGTTTGCTTGACGTATGTGACAAAAATCTTACTTATTTCAACCGACAGAGATCTTCCTCGTTTAGGACTCTGTGTCTAACTTCAATAGTACTCACATGGTAGTACTACCGAACACCGAAACAACTTGTGATTGGCTTTCTATGCAAAACAAACCTTAAATGAGTATGAATCCATTGATTAGTGAAAAATAACCTAACATCCTGATCACTTCAAACAGTTCTATGTTAAATTTAGACATACAAATGGTACTGACTAAGGATCTGGACGATGCACAGAAAATAATTAGACAAGCTTGGAGTAGACCAAGCACTGAAAATCTTTGACTTATTGCAGTCTACAAGACCATAGTGCATTGATATAATTTCCACATAACTTTAAGTCCCATTGTAATGAGTAATAACTGAAGCTGTTTCACACTTTTTGCCAACAAGGATTTTATTACATTTTAGACAGTGATGTAATTATAACCAAAATCAATAATTACTATCTAACAGATGAACAAAGCAAGGCTAGAAATAACAATAAAACGTTCTTCTCTTCACCTTAATTATAAACTGATCAGTTCCATATGTAGACCAACAAAGAATCTATTTGTCTGACATAAAAACTGAATTACTGTAGCTACTTTATTAGTAATAGTTCAGAAAGCTTAAGGATACTTTTAATTGAAAACACATGAGTATGATAAATGACACCAAAAAAAGAACTGGGAATATAGGTATAAAATATCAGCTTATCAAAAAACAAATAAGAATGTGTGCAATGTTCCATAGTATATTACTTTTAATTATGCCTAGTACAGTCAAGGCTCTTTAAAAAACTTCAAAGCTTCATCAAGCAAAAACTTGAAATTATATTTAATACCCTCTTTTAGTGAACAAAGTGTTAGCTTGAAAAATAGTTCATCGATTATTAGTGACGCACTTCAGAAAACCACAAAATCGTATAAATCAAGTGAAGGAAATAAAAAGGTGAATGTAAAGTTAATCATTAATTCTAAAGATGAATACATCCTGTTGATGATATGAGATAATGAAGCTTCTTTTACGATTCTGATCTAGAAGATCAATAATCACAGAATTATAGGTTATGTGTTAAATTTTGAAACATGTTAGAGATTCACAATGATGAAGAGCATTGTGCCTAATGACTACTACGGATTTCCGAAATAACACTGATAAGCGATAGGAAATGGTTTCGAAACTTTGATATTTGAAAGAATATAATGCTATAAGTGCGATATTCAGTGATACACGCATTAGAATACAAAGCTAAACGAATTAGGTACATGCTTATGGTGACCGATTTCATCCTCTTTGTTAGGGATGTTAGATCACTAAAAATGAATCCTTTCTGCTTGAATTCATAAAATTTACCTTTTTCCTACCTTGCGTGTTTCGTTTATTTTGACAACTTTTAAGTACACTATTTTCTCCCTGGTTTTTCTTCTACTAATTTGTCCGTTTGCCTCAAACGCAATCCTGTTGTAGACAAACCGATAATGTGCAACCCTTCTGAGTGAAGTAAAGTTTTTTTAGTTCCGTGCTACCTTCTTCTCTGTGTTAGCCCAGAGATTTATTGAGCCTCTTAATTCGTTTATCCGGTATTCAGATCAAGCATCCATGATTGATCATATCCGCAGATCTAAACACTCTTAAGATCAATACTAAACAAACTGAATGGGCGTAGGACTACAATGAGGCCACTTATCAAAGTAATACGATATAAAACTTGCATAATATCACGAATATCTGTTATCTTCTAAAATCATCTAGTGTTAAGTTGAAAACTACCATATTCGAAGTGGATATTTCAAAAACTTAAGAAATCAAGTCTTTTTCTTGATGTACTAGCCTAGGAGACACATCTATTGTTTAAAGATCAATTTAACTATAGGCTCACTCAGGTCAAAGTGAGTCCAGCGTGGTTTCAGCTCCTAACCTACGGTTTGGAAAAATAACTCCTACCGGCTTAATGGAAATCACAAACTCGAAAATCACTTACCCTTGAATGTTGAAATTTATGATGAACAATACTCCTATCAACAGCATGCATTTTTAATCTGTTCACCAATTAAATCCTTGAGTAATCAGATAGAAAAATACTAGTCAACAAGTTTATACATCAGTGCCACAAGTAAAGCAATAAAAAGTATAGTGTTTCACAGAAAAATAAGACATTTTAATTTAGTTCAACGTTATTTTGTTCGAGTTTGGCTTGTTAATTGCACATGAGTATTGGGTATGTTGAAATATCGACTAAAAAGATAGACAATATCTTATTATGAAGTGAATTATAGCGACTGACTGGGTGTGTATATCTAGACAAAATTTTAGCAGAAAACAAGTGAAGTGAATATACTTATACTGTTATTTCAGTTACAATGCAGTACACAAAAACTGCAATATCACATAGTTTTGATGGACAGATAGTAAATCACAACATAATATTTAAAATATACTACTTCAATGGGAAAGATCAGTTAGTCAATAAGCAGTAAGCAAGAAAGCAAAACTTTTCAGCACTACTATAAGGACAAGTGGATTAAGAAACTATAAAGACACTATTGATAGGATTGATGAGAAAAACAGATGAGTAATATTTTAAAAAGCTGGCAATAGACAACTTGATGATTCTTTGAGTCGGTTACGCATCTCTAAACACGAAATCGGTTGATTGGTTAGGAAGTATATCGACAAACAAACACTGAATGCAAGGTCACCGATATTTTCAAAAAAGCTTGACATGAAAATGGAACACTTTTTTTGTTAAACTATTATTACTTAATCAATCTCATTTTCACACAACTTTTCGTAGCAACACGTTCGTAAGAATTCAAGCTATGCAAGGTTGTTTGAACATTATGGATTTCTACTGATTAGGTCATCTTCAGTTGACTGATGAGTAACTCAGATCAGTTTACAAAACAGCCAAGTAT